ATACTTGGCTAATTCTCGATCCTCGAGGAGATCAGGGCCATCGTGTGTGGGCATCGTTTTGACCAGATGCTCAATCACTTCGTCGGGAATAAGAGAATGACGGAGGTCAAGCTCGGTAACGTAAGGCTGTGTTGTGTGTTAGGGAGGAGAAAAAAGACGACAACCCAAATAAAATCGAACTAACCTTTCCATCGGCAACTTCCTTGAAACTTTGGAAGACCTGCTCGGCGGTGTTCTGATCCTCGGTTACACTGACCATGAACCGGATGAACTGTTCGAAGCTAACTCCGGCATTTTGTGACAGGCGATTGGGCCCGCACACTTCCACGTAGACCTGGTGCATCTCTTCCTCGTCGTAGACCAACCCCAGACTAGCTAGCGCCGCTGAGAATTCCAGTTCGTGGAGAGTGTTGGAGGCGTCGCGGTCGAAATGGCGGAAGACTGATTCGAATTCCTCCAGCTGAATGGGGGTCAAATTGGTCATACTGCGAGCAACCATCTGGTTGTCGAGGAAAGCCAACTTCTTAGAGATGCTAGACTTCACGAGACTCAACTCGTATGCAAGTTCATCAAGTGTATATGTGGTGAAGTCGTTCTCTTCGATGTTGGCTTCCGCGCACTGTTGGTCCAGTTCTGCGATAGTATCGAGGAAAGCGTCTAGGGGCGGTAGGGTGTCATTCAATCTCTTGACATGATCTAATTGGTCTTCAACGTCACCGTCAAGTCCAGAGATGGCTAGGGACAAAGTTTTCAGCGTCAATGCAAAGTCATTTGCCTTGTCGGCAAAGGAGCGGCGTAGTTTGTTCTTGATGTCACGGATGGTTTCGTTGATAAGTTGACTGCGTTCATGTTCGTCCCGAGTAAGGATCTCCCATTCTCTGTCGCAGTTCTCTGGACTTAATTCCTGGGGTGGATCATAAGGACGAAGTCGGTATGTGCCCAGTTTGGTTTTGATATTTCCCAGCAACGCAGCCAGGTCGGATTTTTCGGCGACCCATTGACGTTTTTCAGTGCGCTTGTAGAGTGAGAACTGATAGGCTTGTTCCTTGACATCCTTATAGGTCCCTTCAAAGGAGGACCCCTTCCAGTGGTCACGTTGACCGCGAATCAGTCGCAATAACTCCTTTACTCGGCGCTCATATGAGTTCTGCATTTCCCATGCGCCGTGCATATTGTTGACAAACTTCTCGACTCGTCGCCCGGCATTTTCAACCCTCTCTAGTTGGGAGAAGGCATGGAACCAGTATGCGATGTAGGTCATGAGAGAGCGCTCATCGGGTCTGGGAACGTCACACACATCATCCACGTCGAGAAGATCCGGAATACCAATTTCGTTGGAAGCGATCTCGAAGGCCAGCTTCATATTTCCGCGGTGGTCGCTCTTATCGAGGGATTCGTAATCGATCAAATCGGGCCGGTGAATATCCAGAAGCGCACAGAAGGCCAGACCGTTGTTCCAGCTCGAAGAGAAGTCCCGGACTTCTACATCGTCGTAACACGCCGTCTTTCGTTGACACCACAAGAGCAGACCTTCCTTGGCGGTCATGCCCTCCTCGTTGATATCGCTGATTGTGAACCGCAGAATCAATGTCCAGATCAAGCCCAGGATAATCTTTTGGTTTCCATCCACAATATCCTCCGCTCCAATGTTTGTCATCTGGATCCTCCGTCCCTTGATGAAATCCAGACTCTTGTTCACATTTTCGAATCGCTGCACGCGCAGCTTCGGTTTCGACGCATATCGGCCTAGGGATTCTCCTCCCAGGATCTCTAGGAGGTGAATGAGAATGACCTGGACACGCGATCAGCAAAAGGATGTTGGGGGAGGCGGGGTATCAGAGCATACGCCGTCGGAGAGGTCAGTGACCAAGTCGTCGATGGACAGGCTCCGTGCCTTCAGCTTGTCATTCAGCCTGTCAATAGTCAGCGAAGGGTCCTCCGAGGGAGGGGTAATCCCCATACCATTTAGTGAAGGTCTTTTGTTGCACATTAATCCACTGCTTCTCGACCGTCAACATCTTGGCGGAGACATTCAGGGCCGATTGACAATTATGGTGGGGTGGACAGTCAGGGGTCAGGGTTGGATGACGACGATCAGAGAGGCTGAAAGAATCCCGAGGTCGGTTTCCGATTCGGAGAGATCCAGCACAAGGGGGGTTCAGAGATTCGGGCGGGGTGGGCTCGGAGCTGAAGATCACCCCAGCAACGGTATGGTTCTAGGTCCTAGCTTCTCGATGCCAATGTTTGGGGACAAGAGATCCCGAGTTTTTCTTCGTAAAGAAAATGAATGTTTGCCAGGGTGAGGGTTTTCAGAGAGAAAAAAAAAGCCTAGTCAAGTGACTGCAGATGCATTGCATCCCTTGACCCACTTCTAAGTATAGACCCCCCTTTGTCGACTATATCGGGTAGACTTACAGATGGAATGTAAGCGCCTGCGAGTAACTATACCAATATGCCAATGGCATAAACGATGAAATCAATTATCACTTGAAATCAAATATTGCTTATTCACAGGAAGAAGTAGGGATAAATCTGGAATTTCTCAAATGGCCTACTCCGTACAGTAGATAAGGAGTACACCAAAGGTTATCCAACAATCGTAACCTGGGAAGCGCTAACTTGCCAAGTTTGGATTGGAGCAACCGAAAACTCTCCGCCATTTCTGTTCTGAGGTACCTCTTGAGCTTAACTACAACTCGAAACTCTCATGAGATCATCGAACTTGTGTGAATTTCGCTCCCAGATCCAGTGAAAGCAAAGATATGCTTCTCACACTCGTACTTAAGTATCATGAATTCCAAAGGGTTATTTCAATGTTATATTCTAAGTTATATCACGAAAACACTGTGTATCTGGCACTCATGTAAACCTTGAAATCTGCCCAGCAGGTGACGATATCCATCTAATCGTGATCTACACTTACTTCCTCCGTATGAAAGAAAATTAGCAGGAAAAGGCCTTGAAGGTTTCAAGTTGTAGTTGAATTGAACAGGTCTGAACAATCAACTACGAGTAGTGTGTTGCTGCCCAGATACCCACTTCGTTTATTCGGGTGCACATGCGTCGAGCCCTTCCAACTAGATCAAAGCATGGTTCAACTTTTGAACCTTGGAAGCGAGGGTAATTCTCAACCTTCATGGCGAGCAGTTCAACTGGTCATGAGCCATTAGAAAGCTCGGTTCCCCAGACGGGAAATTAGAAACTGTACCTAGGTACCTGCCGAGTATCCATGGACCATGCTGCAGACATTCTTGGAGTTTGAGTCCATGACAAACATCTGGCGTCTATAGTCGAACTTTAGAACGCACATGGCATATAATATCCATGGATCCCGCATGATGCTCTCATTGTTTATTTACCCGAACAGAAAGTCGATCCTTTGAGGACGCTGTGAAGTCCAAATAAACTCTGAGGCTTGAGATCGAGAATGAAAGCAAGCTGCATACATGCAGTAAAGCTTCATCAAAAACCAGGTAAACAAAGAATCATCCCCGAGATCAATTCGATATGAAAGCCTCAATGTTCGTTTTACCTGCGAGGGATAATTGCACATTTCAATAGCTTTAGTGATCAAAGTTCAAAATGAAGAAACAAGAAGAAGCTTCTGTGGGAGTGCGTTCGATCTTTAGTTTGCAGTAGAGTACTTCGTAGGTATGGCGCAATGCTGGGAATCAATATCACGCAATTTCCCCCACGTTCTATACATGGTTGACATTACAATGTTTGGATTGAGTTATAGCCGTGTTAGAATAGGAAAGTAGATGTTTTTTTTTTTTTTTTTAATTTTCGATGATGGAACATAAAGAATACGAATGCTCTTGTACCTACGTACTTCATTGATGCAACGCCGCGATGCCGCGATGCCGCGGTGGTGCTGGCTTTTAGTCAGCACAAATGAGGTCATCTGCGCAAAGCGGGGCGAGGGGATCTTTGAAAGACTCACAGCTCCAGACAATTTTTTTTTCCCTTTCGCAAATCACTTACACAATGTCTCTCAAGATCACCGACACACTCCCTCTCCTTAACTCCAGTGCGCGCATTCCGCGCCTCGGATTCGGTGTCTACCGCTCCCCGACCAATCAATGCGTCCAGTCCTGCCTGAAGGCATTGGAAGCGGGATATCGGCACATCGACACAGCGCAATTTTACGCCAACGAAGCGGAAGTCGGCGAGGCGCTGCGCACTTCCGGCGTGCCTCGGGAAGAGGTATTCGTCACAACTAAGATCCTCAGCCCTGCGGCTTCGCTTGAGGCTACTTACGATAAATTGCTCGCTTCTGTGCACAAGATCAGTGGCGCGGATGGATACGTTGATTTGTTTTTAATTCATTCCTCGAGCTCAGGCTCTGCAGGTCGCAAGCTCCTGTGGCAGGCACTCGAGAAGTTGTATGCGGAAGGCAAGGCGAAGAGCATTGGTGTTAGCAACTTTGGCGTTGGACATATTGAGGAGTTGCGCTCATTCGCGCAGGTGTTCCCACCTCACGTGAATCAAATTGAGGTGAGTGATCTGAAAAAGCCTAGTTGTCATGGCTTACATGTTATTGTTCATGATTCTGACATTGTACTTCTGTAGCTCCACCCGTGGTGCCAGCAACGTGTTATCGATGAATACTGCCAAAGCAATGGGATTGTCGTCGAGGCATACTCCCCCATTGTACGAAACTACAAAGCTAATGACCCCACGCTGGTGGAGGTTGCGAAGAAGAACGGCCACTCGACCCAGCAGGTCTTGATCCGCTATGCGCTGCAGAAGGGTTGGGTGCCTTTGCCTAAGACCGATAATCCCGAGCGGATTGTTGCCAATGCAGCCGTGTTTGATTTCGAGCTGAGCGCCGAGGATATTGCTGTGCTGGATTCATTGGATCAAGGAGATGCCGGTGCTATTGTCGAAGCTGTTCAGAATGAATGAGGCGGCTTTACGCCATGATGATCATGATCACCACGGGGCCCCGAAGCCAATCTGGGCTTGACCAGACAAACAAAACGAATTTGCTTGACAGGTCAATAATCCGGCGGCTGCATCAGAAAGGCATTGACAGACTGAAGTGTGGCTCGAGACGGATTAACGTCATGTTTCGACGACACAAGCCAAGCTAGACGCTGTCTGATGAATTGCTTGCTGATTGCGCGCTTGCTCAGCGAGGCATCGAAGCCACCTGTGGAGAAATCTTAGTTTTCCATTCCCTTTCCATCTAGCGCTTGAATTCATCATCCGGCAGGGAACTGCATACATACCTTCATCGTTGTAAAACAAGCATATAATCGATAACAGTGTTCCCGCCGAAAGATCCTTTCCACTTTCACAAGTCACCAATAAAGAAAGGTCTGGATTCGCCCCAATTCGTGTAGCAACAAAGTCCCGAACTTTATCCAGCGACTTGCGTAAATCACGACTCCCCAGCTTCCCCGTATCACAGCCCAAGCCGAGCCTCTTCACATCGCCCTCAACCGGGGTTCCATTGCAGTCAATCACAAGATCATACTTGCTCGCCGCATCGACTGACCCCGAAGTAATGAACAAGTTCTTCGTTGGAGCAATGAGTGTCGCATCGCCAGCTACATCCAGCTGCTTGTGTTCACCAACCAACCGCTGGATAAGATCAGGCAAATCATCTTCAGCCGTATTCTTCAATATTTCCCGATTGGCCCAGAACACCGGCGGCGTCAGCCCATATGCCCACCCCTCGCTATCATCACCCGCACCTTGGATGTATCCGCCCTCTGACATCTCGGCGCCATGCACGCGCCTTGACGCGGAGCATAGCACAAGGAGGCGATGGTCATTGCTCTTCTGGAGGTCTGAGGGGTAATAATATGACCTATTGGCCCAAGCTACTTGGATGGGTTTGCCAATTTGCTCTTGCAGACCATCTAGATCGAGTTTTAGACTCTGTGGCGTTGGATCAGTCCTTGTCTCGCTGGAGGTGGGGATGTGGCGTCAGTGAGGCTGATTGCTGACCTTGAGTGAATACACAAATTTGTCAATTCGGCTTTCGATCTGTGCTTCTTCTGATTCTCCCAGGAAGTTTGGGGGAAGTTGGACTGGGTGATAGGCTGTTTGAGATGGGAAAAGAGCCCTGTTAAGGACAGCGCTCCAGATGGGAACCGTCTTTGATAAGGCATCTGGCATCACTGGAAAAATGTCAGCACATCACTTTTTCGCTCTCTCATTCATGCTGCATGCATGGCGTCGATCTGGGGGAATCAATGCGAGATCGAAGTCTGGTGAAAGTTCGCATACATTTTCCTCGACGAGTTGAATCCACTATCACACAACTGGGCAAAGTACCATAGTCAGTCCTGGGATCTCTTGTAAATGATCAGGAGAATTAGGCTGTGGGCTAGCCGTTGTCCACCGTTTACGAACGATATGAGCCAAACCCCACAGCCCGTCCAACGTGGAACATAAATAGAATAAAATATCGAACTCACCCGCCATGATCCTTGACCAGCGGTAGCAACTGCAGGTTTAGTCTGCGAAAGCTAAAATCCCACTGACCGGTGTGGCCATCAGTGCTTTTGAAATACGCACTACCGACCTTGGTCGTTGGCGGAATGTACCAGCTTCCGCATCGCTCATTAGCTACCAGTGGCAGCCCATAGTGATCAGCGACCTCTTGCACAAACTGGGCATCAGTCTCGATGGATTGAAGTCGATTGGAGACGGAGAGCGCTGATCGACGCAGAGATGAGAGTGTCTGTGAAATGGATTGCTGGGCCGACGGGAAATGCAACGACTCCAACGTCGGAAGAGGCCCCGAAGATTCCATGTCCGATTCCTCTTTTTGGTCTAATGCCAAGTATATGCAATTTTGATGTTTTCTCGGTCCGTGGCCCAGGTTAGACAGTCCCTGCGGGCTGGCCGAACAGACTGGATGATTGGGCCCAGATGAAATGGACTGAATTGATTGGTGTAAGTTTGTGTCGGTGACAGCCTAGATGGCTTTCTTGCTCCGGGTTGAATCCAGAAGACGGTTGTGGAATGGCAGATACGTTCGCGATTTGAGTGTGACCAATCATTGTGCGACAAAGTGGACCCAGTTGGCGTGTATACAAGAACCGTGCTACATGTTACGAGTACCACCTGGTCCCTGGTGTGAAATTGTCAAATGGTCATTTTTGGATCAATCAAAACTGTAGCAAACATAGCCGTGAATCAGATTTATGGCCCAGCTCATTGTCTGTAAGGTGCAGTTTCTGACGACTCTAGTACTCCGTACAGCCCAGGAGGATATTGGACCATTTCAACCCTGGCCTTAGGAGACAGGGTTATCAGGCATTGAAATCCCTCAATCCTCACCGAAGTCGGAATACTTAGTTTGACCGAGGTTGCAAGGCGTTACATAGCTGATGGCCCATGATATAATTCCAAATGCTCTTTGGGTACTAAATTGCCAAGGAACCTTTGAGGGCGGGTACATGAGTTATATTACCTTTATGAGGATCTGACTGCACTAGTCGATTCCAGAAATCGCAGGCAGAGGGGTACATGAAGATGTGATGGTCTCCTATGTGCCACATGCTTATAGTATGACCCCCAACCATTCTGCCCCCCAGATTCCCCCCCCATGCCAGTTAAATTAGATAGTGAGTTCCCCTCCTCAAACAAGGCCGGCGGAGGCATGACCGTGCATCATAAGTTTAGGCCTAGTACGGAGTAAACCTAGTCATGTTAGTATTACCCAATAAGAGAATCACTGTGCAGTCCGTGGCCCGCTCAGACTATGCACTTTTCGAACATCAGGTGAGAATTTCCAATGCATGATCCCTTGAGCTGAGTCGAGAGAATCGAGAATTGAAGGTCACGAGAAGAGTCGGGACGCTTCTAAACCAGCAGGACTCAGATGGAAGACGGCAGAAGTTGAAACCCAGCGAAACCAGGCATCCTGCCCGGAGTAGAAACAGGGGCGCTAGGCCAGTTCAGGACTAGTGGATGACCGGACTATATTTTGATTGGCTGAATGCTGGGCCATGTCTCCTGGCTGGAAGTACCCGGTACCTGAGCTCACAACGGTTTCGACCACTCAGCAACAAGTACTGAGTACCTGGCACCCCACGTCAGTGCATATGCCCTCAGTGTAGCCCCTCCCGCTCTGGCCCGGTTTCCCAGGGACAACTTTGCGGCGTCATTGTCGTCGGCACTTGCCTTGACTTAAATACTCCCGAAGACCGCAATTCCTGTTTGATTGTTGCATTCCGCTTTTCCCATAGACCATCCTTGTCGCTTCGTTGCGCTTTTGTCCATCGCATTCTCATCAATTTCATCCCCGGATTTACTCTCCGCATTGTCATCATGCCTAAGGTACCAATATCCTAACCGCAACCCCACCCACCGGTGCTAACCGACTGTAGATCACGGAAATCTTCTTCGATTGCGACAACACTCTAGTCCTCTCTGAGGAGCTGGCCTTCGAGGCCTGCGCCGACTTGGCCAATGAGATCCTCGAAGTGTACAACATCTCGGACCGCTATACAGGCGACCAGCTCATCAAAGACTTCGTCGGTCAGAATTTCCGGGGCATGATGGTCTCGCTGCAGAAGAAGTATAACTTCGAGATCCCCGCCGACAAGTTGGAGGGCTACGTCACCAAGGAAGAAGACAAAGTCATCGCCAAGTTGGAAGCCAAGGCCAGGCCTTGTGTCGGTGCCAGCGAGGAGCTGGAGAAGCTGTTCGCGGAGAAGAAGTATGACATGGCTGTTGTCTCCTCGTCCGCTCTGCGCCGTGTGCTCGCGTCTATCAGGAAGGTCGGCCAAGACAAGTACTTTGACGAGGACAAAGTTTTCAGTGCTGCTACTTCCCTGCCAAAGCCAACTTCCAAGCCTGACCCTGCCATCTATCTGCATGCCCTAGAGAAGGTTGGCAAGACCGCTACGGAAACAGTTGCCGTGGAAGACAGCAAGTCCGGTGCCCTATCTGCCGTCCGCGCTGGTATTCCTGTGATTGCCTACGTCGGTAGCTACCATGGCGAAGAAACCCAGAAGGCGATGGCACAGGCACTAACTGAGCTTGGCGCGAAGACTGTCATGTACCACTGGTCTGAATTCTCAGACCGCATGGCGGATATCGAAAACGGAGATGTTACCGAGGTTCACTCCAGTCTTTGAGTGTCCTGGTACTTGTACGCCCACGATTTTATGATAGCGAGCGTATGTTTGTTAAGGAGCTTTTCTGTCTTGTTTTACTAGCTCCACGTTTATGGATAATTGCCTCTGCCTCTCTACCTACATGAAAAAGGCGAACTTCTACCCTCCTGTTGGTCAGGTAATGAGAGAATATGGGTTGCAAAGACTACGGCTCTACCTGGACTGTTACTTTCTGTGTCTGGTGCATTACTCATTACCCTTGTTGTTCTATTGGCAGATACTTACACGCAATGAGATACCAATTACTCCGTAGCGATTTTTCCCGAATCTCTTGACTTGCAAAATACTTAGATAAAGAGAAAGTCAATTTCTCCATGTCCAGGATACAAAGCACTCCATACTCTGTAGACATTATTACATATAATGAAAGACAAACGACAAGCTCCAGGGCTGCCCGCATCGAGAAGCAGATAAGATAAGGCCACCCCGCCATCGAAATTGGAGACATCATACCTCGGCCAATTCTTTTCCTCTCAAGTTGTCTCCTTTCAGTCCAATATGTCAGCCCCACACACTCAATCCAAGCTCGTATCACAGGGCCCATTGGTATGTTAACCTTCATATTTACCCAAACGAGCACAAACAGGCCTGTCTCCGCATTGACCCTGGATCGCCTTGCATAGAGCCTCCAACTAACATCTCCAAACAGGCCTCCGAAGAGGCACGCTGGATCCGAGCCGTTAAAACCACATACACTGATCCATTGGGTGTTGAGCGAACATGGGAATCCGCTGAGCGCACAGTAAGACACATCCCCATTCCGAAGGCCAATTGCAGGCTCCCCAATATCCCAAGATCACCAGATCTACTCGTACCCATTTTAGGATGACCTATGCTCAGCCGCAGAAGTATCTACGCAACACATTGACGCACATGTGGCTGTGAATGCAATTTATCGGGGGGCAAGTGACATAAGCCCGGGTGTTGCCTAAGCCCAAGCTCTGGGCTCTGGATGCCTAATTGCACCGAGTCCCACCTGTATTCCCCATTCCTCAGCAGCCACCACGAGGATCTGAACCTCATTTACTCCTCATTCTTCACTGAATTTGATGCTAACCGCGCTTACCCAGACACGACCCGCTGGAGTGGAACTCGATGGCGTGGGGATCGTTGCTATCTTGAGCAAAGATAGCGGGTCCGAATTGCTTTTGCAGAAGCAATATCGACCTCCTGTAAATAAAGTGGTCATTGAGGTTCCGGCTGGCCTGATTGACGTTGGTGAGACTCCGGAGCAGTGTGCTGTTCGTGAACTTTTCGAGGAGACGGGTTATGTTGGTGTGGCGGAGCAAACTAGTCCAGTCATGTTCAATGGTAAGTGGGGTTGAAGTTGTTGGGCTGTTGGGTTGCTAACGTTTTGCTCTTATCAGATCCTGGAATGTGTAACACCAATTTGCACATGGTTCACGTTAAGGTTGATATGTCGCTCCCTGAAAATCAGAACCCGAAGCCTCAGCTTGAAGAGAATGAGTTCATCGAGTGCTTTACGGTACCATTAACATCTTTGTTCGACGAAATGAAGAACCTTGAAAAGGAGGGCTATGCCATTGACGCTCGCATTGGAACTCTTGCAGAGGGTATTGAGTTGGCGAAAAAGTGGAAGCTGTGAAGCAACTGCCGGGTCAACTTCCAGTATATCTACACTTAAGTAGATGGCTGTTTTGTACTCCGTACACAGAAGATATTGTCGATGCATAACTACAAGCTCCCACTTGAGCAGTATGTTCAATATTCTCGCTTTTGCTTGTCACATATTCAGATGAGACCCTCTTTCTTCAACCCTTGATACAGTCCCCACGCAGCTAGAGTCTTCCCATCTCTAAGCCCGGTCTTCCATAAATCTCCCAAAGGAACGATCTTTAGCGTAATTTTCTCCCCCTCATCACGAAGACCAGTTAATTTCCCTTGTAGTTCGTCAATCTCCTTCCGTGGCATGGTCTTCTGACACAAGAACAATGGAATGAACTCATCACTCCCACCAGCTGAGGGATAAACCGCGTTCTGAAGACACTCCCCGTCACTTGGACCTTCATTCGCCCGGGCAGCCAAAGCAGTCATATCGATCAAATCTGCCTGCTCAACCAATAAACCAGTCTCCTCTTGGATTTCCTTGGCCGCACCACCCGCGAAAGTCCCACTATCATCCAGCATGCCCGCGGGGATTTCGGGGAAAGCCAACGAGCCCGCGGGGATGCGGGGCTGGATAGTCAGGATAGCGCGCTTATCATTATCTGTCGGATTGGCAATATCATCCGGTTGCAGGACGAGCTATGCATAATTAGACCACGTCATGCCAGTTAGGCTTGTGCTAGAGAAAGACACGTTCCCATCGAATGGAGGGGTTGTTTTTTTCGAAAGCGCTAACTCACCAACATGCCAACACTGCCTCCGCGCAGGAAAATACTTCCAGGGAGGGTCTCGCCCCGGCCATTCGACACTTCGGCTTTTAGCTTGACGAAACCGAGCCGCGCACCCCCAAATCGGTCCACTGCTTGGATGTCGATTTTGCGAAGCACATATGGGTCATGGTGGAATTCGTGTGAGGGGTTTTCTTGTCGCGAGAGAGAATGTTGGAGTGTAGTTAACCAGGTCTTGTAGGCTGGAAATGAGGCGAGGTCCTGTAGGCTCAAGCCTGGGATGGTGTTGACTTGGATGTCACCTGTACCTTTGGCCATGGTGATTGGTCGTCGAGTGATATGTGGTCTGAGATGTCGCGCTGCAAGGCGGAGAGGATTCATTCAGGCAGATTTTGAGGCCCGAGTTTGTGTTGGGGGTTGGGTGTTTGGCTATGAAGTTTGTCTATGACGTCGTGTCATAGTGGAGATATTTTTTGTTTCGCTATTTTGCTATTTTGCTATTTTGCAGTGTTTTTGTTAATTTGCTCTCTACCCAAATGCGTACTCCGTATTCCACTAGGTTATTGTATTTGGAGCATAATTTGCTCGACTACACATATAAGCATGTGATCTCAATCAGCATAGATTAGAAGCCTAAAATTTCTCTTCATTGATGCCCCTTTGTTTTGTAAGTTATGAAATGCTAATGCTGTGGAGTATGATCCTTCAAACCGCTAGATTTAGCCATTGTATACTCCGGGTTGAACGAGAAAACGAGAACTTTAGAATTCACCAAGGTCGCATCAGTCATTCCAAGAAGAGAGGATTTCAGAACCAACGCCAAGACCCCTTTCGCAGGTTCAATCTACTCTGCACGAGGAGTGGTCAGTATCTGTAGATGTATTAATTCACCCGGGTGCACTCTGCACCCCACTTACCCGATAATCCTGGTTCGATGTATGCACGCTTATACGTATTGCACCTTTGAGCACTGTCAGGGCCGGGGCTCGAAACCCGGGTAACCAGGCCATCTTTGTATCGGTAGAGATCACATCATCCTCCTTGCCTCAGATCGGGGCTAGATCCGGTTGCCTTGGAAAATGCGACCCAGTGGTACAACGGCTTCAATTTGCGGCTGAATACTTTCTTTTTTTTGTTTATTCCTCTGAAGCTTGTATGGTTTCTTGAAGCCCCATTGCCAAGGTGCTGGTTTCAAGGATGAGGTTTGTTTACCAGCCTATATTGACTCAGGCCCACATGTGCAGGGTTCGCGGGTCCCCCATGCAAAGTATACCAACTACATAGTAACTACCTCCATGCTTTGTACTCCCTACTCCATACTCCATATAAAATACTTCAGTAGTATCACGTCGATCCCAACCCGGCAAACTGAGCCATCACCTGAGCATTCCCGACAAAGAGTTAAGGCCATGTGGTCCTGCGCTCGCATCCCTTTCGGAACACCGGACCACGTCCTGTCGCATGATGGCACATCGGGCACCCAAGGAAATCCAGCGACTGGCTTCCAATGCGGCTAGTCTACATATCCCGGACGCTGCAAAGCCCATTCGAGAATCTATGCAATAGATCCAGTTTTCACCCTCGGGTAGTCAATGCTCAATGTGAATGCGAGTCCCCATCCATCTCAGGCAAGCTCACAATCCCTGCTCTCTGTGGTCAGAATCACCATTCTCGGTGCTGAGGGTGACGCCAAAAAACCGGTGTGGTGGAATCTTAACCAGGTCGGCGATGCCACCAAATAGCGGTGACGGGGCTTTAAGCCGGGTTCAAGCAGTGCCCCATGGCGCAAGGGCAACGGAAGCCTATGCCCAGCGGATTTATTACCCTTCTTTTGGGACGCAATTGGGCGCCCCGATTTAGGAAATTAGTTGGCATTGAGTCCGTGTTCGTGTGAGAGTATTTCATATCTCAAAATGGGTGAGATATTAATGTAAATCAAAACCAAAATCGAAATCAAAACATATTTTGATCTGGGGAAAAAGAAAAATCCCAAAGTAGGCAGCGGGCAAAGAGATCCACTAAGATCTGTAGGCCCCAAAAACCCGGGTGGCATTTGCCTGCAGGCGGTGTTTTTAGTATAAGTGTCAAACCCCCTCTTTACTTAACTTCGATACTTGCCCAACATTCAAAATCTAATAGATGACGGAATGCACGCCTAACTAATTGTCTCACATGGCCACTTTCTTGACATTTTGCATCTTAATATGGCGGAGGCAAGGCAACGCTGCAGTTTGTACCCAGTCGCCAAGCAGTTTTCGGATAACGTGTCACCCAGGCAAGTTCCGAGTGCAACAAACAGAATAACCCCTAATGAACCCTTCCCAGACACTCGATGAAAAGATTATTCTCAGAGGAATTGATGTCGGAATCCATGGGCTCGCACCGTTATTCTACGCCAACCCGTCCCCATTCGACGGGTGTCCTAGCGGACGAGTGCACGCTGGATTCTATCGGTAGCAGCATGCGAGTACTCAAAAGCCCCGCTCGTACCAGTGTAGGCCAGGTCAGCAAGCGCCGCAGGGATGGCTGCCGCGTCTCCCGAGAGTCGCGGCGGCCGTCAGCGGCTTGCCACGTGAAGACTACAGTGGCCCAATTCATACCGGAGCGAATTGCAGATCTCAAAGTGAATTCCAACGCCAAGCGAGACAGACCAGATCCCCGGGATCTCACGACACGTCCTGAATTGCAAAGATCGATATCAAACCCGGTGGCTGGGCCCAGCAATGCAGCCCTGGATAGCCCGGCCATTCAAAGCTGTGGCATTCAAAACCAGGCACTGGGCATTCGTTCCCGGGAATGTTATCCAATCAAAGACGAACTAACAGATGGGAATCCGAAGATGGGAGAGCTAGGGGCAGATTGGCTAAAACCCAAGAAAGAGGAAGACCTTCCAGAACCAACACTTGAAATGTTTAGGCAACCCGACACCCACCCGATCACCGAAGACCAATTGATCAAAGAAGTGCGTGGGATCTACACGGGTCTGGTGATGGTGGAAAAAAAGTGCATGGAGCTCGATAAGCAACAGGCGGAATCGAGGGCAGAGCTATTAAACAGTCAATGGCAGGTCCTCGTCTCGGTGCACAGAACACTTCTCTACGAGCATCACGACTTCTTTCTTGCATCTCAACACCCGTCGGCCGGTCCAGTCTTGAAGAATTTAGCCGAGAAATATGCTATGCCAGCGCGCATGTGGAAATACGCAATTCACTCATTCCTGGAGCTGTTGCGCCAGAAACTCCCAGGCTCAGTGGAGTACATGCTTGATTTCATCTACCTCTCATATTCAATGATGACACTGCTGCTGGAAAGTGTGCCTGGATTCAAAGAGACTTGGATTGAATGTCTGGGTGATTTGGCACGCTATCGAATGGCCGTAGAAGAATTTGATAAAAAGGATCGGGACCTTTGGGCTGGCGTCTCCAGATACTGGTATAACCAAGATGCGAATCGCAGTCCGGAGAATGGGCGCATCCAGCACCACTTGGCGGTTTTGTCCCGTCCTGATATTCTGCAACAGTTCTTTCACTACACGAAAGCACTCATCAGCGTGCGCCCATTCCCCAATGCGCGAGACAGCATCGTCCAGCTGTTGGCTCCGCTCATGAACACACCGACTGCGAGATTGAACCTGACGACTCTGTTTGTGACTGCTCATGGTGCCCTTCTCATGCAAAAACCGGCAGGGGCGTTCGCAGCTCGTGCATACCAGTTCCTGGTGACGCTACGGAGAGATATAGTGACCTTGCTAGGTCAACAAAAACAGATTGGTGTTCAGATTACATCTTGCAATATCGCGGCGATATTTCAGTATGGGAACACGGGTGGGGTTATGGAAACGGAATTCACTTTAAAGGAACGCCCAGCTACAGCAGAAGAGCGCATGTCGGCAATGCAGTGGGCATCCAGCGCATCACCTTCCATCGCTTCTTGCAACGATATATCATCACAGCTGGTTTTCCAAGCGAGCTCGCTCGCATTTCATACTTTGATAGTCATGCTCGACCAAACAGGGGATCAGAACATGTATCCGAGCGTGCATATCTCAATGGCGTTTATATGGTGTCTCACTCTGAACCCGTCTGCCATACAACGAGTTGAGCCATTGGTTCCTTGGGCAAAGGTGGCAGCGTACTTGAACGGGTTGTTCGAGCCCGACATCATCATCAATAAGATCGAAAACGAACAATTTCCACTCTTCGACGACACACCCGCCAATCAATTACCGGAGGACTTTTTGATCAAAGGACAGGCTTGGAGCCGGTTATATTACCCAGAAAGATTTTTCGAGGATGCTCCCTCTGAGGACGACAGACCAACTATTGAAGATTCCTCTATTGTAATTCCCAGAAGACACAGATGTCTTTGGCTTGGAGTTAGGATTGCAACTGTTTGTCTTGCCCTGTCACTCATTCATTCAAATCAACTGATATTTGGCCAGTTCGCTCGTTGGATAACATACGACCAGACACGAAGATTCGGTGTTACGCAGCTAGCAGCTTCGTACACACAGACTGCGGAAAACACCGCTCATCTTGATGGTTGTATCTATCCGTTTTCACCAAGAGCCCAATCACAGCATGACCAGCAGATGCAAGACGTTTGAGATATGGTTGCGGCTCTGCCGTGTTGCCGACAGTGACATGGAACATTTTCGGTGATACTGCAGTGGTGAAATCTTGGAGGATTTTCCTTTTGTTTTAGCTTCACGCTCCCAGTGTGAGGTTCCTTAGGCCCTTTCCCGTACACGCAGCCAGGAAACGGATTTCCTTTTGTTCTTGGTACCAGGCATATAAAAATTCATGAGTCGGCCACGACTACACGACAGATATCACAGATCAGATGCCATTCGGACCTGGACTTCCTAATCTGGACCACTCCAAGGACCTGGCTGTTTGGGGCCTCATACCACGGAACAATGAATTCATGGCCTGGATCCATCCTCAGGATCGCCTGTTCCAGGCCACCGTTGTCTGCTTTTCTGGTTTAAGGATACCTGGAAACTCTGGCTGACTTACTCAAATCCATGAACTGAACCATCAGGACACCGCGATTGGAGCCATCGCTTTGGAACCGAGGACCTTTGCCTCGTTTGGTTCAGGTTATGTTTGGGGGCCTGAAGTCAAGGCTGTTATAGGCGTATCAGCATTGAGCTCTGGGGGTGAGATGGAGAGGTGTGATCTCGGCGGGCTTTTGAAAAGAAGGAGCATGGGGAGGATGAGCTTTCAGTGGAAATAAGACAAAAAAAAGTCAGAGAAGGAAAGTATAGGAATATCAATGGATAGCTATGGCGTTCGCGTCGGTACGATGCACACCCCTAGACCTCTCTTTCCCTGCTCCCCTTGTGCTCTTTCTTCCCCCTTCCCAGTCTTTCCGTCGCTTTTGGTATGAGTACAGTACAGTCTGGACACCAATGTCCCCATGGGCTTCATCACTCAGAACTAACTCGACTTTTCGACTTCGATTTGCCTTCATTGCTAGATTTCAAAAGGCCCCAGAGATCGGATAATATCGTACTAACAAGAACAGCATACACCTACTAGTATGTATTTATAGAGAAAATACAAAATATTGACGAATGAAAAGACGTCCCAGAACCGTGGCTCCTCCCGTGGGGTGCAGCTTATTTCGGGAGCTTGCGCGTTGCCGAAAGGCCATGCTGGCACTCGGATTACCCCAACATCGAACATTCCTCCTGTAATCCATGAACTAATCTTTGCTTTCCCATTGCGTTCCCTCCGCGACGCTTCCACAATGGCGGCTTGGAACGAGGTATGTCGCCAGTGCGTCAGCACCGTCGCCAACGTTCCAATTGAGATCCTACTCGTGGCTGCCCTAGCCACTTTACTCGGTCTCTTCGTTCTGGTGAGTATTCAAATCCCCGCTCGGTCGGCCAAACACCTTCGCTCGCGGCATCGCAAGCCACAATAATCCACTAACAAAGGCTACAGTTCTTCATCTTCATCTTCACTGTCGCACCCGTCCCTCGCGCCCCTCTCCCCGAAGAAGAAAAATACAGAACCCTCTCCAAAGATGGAACAGTCACAGACCCCGAATCGCTCCCAAGCTGGCTCGAAGCATCATCCACCCACGCCATCACCCCGGCCTCCCTCTTCATGTCCGTCGTCATACCCGCCTACAATGAAGAGGACCGATTAACCGGCATGCTGGAAGAAGCAGTCAACTACCTAGAGCGCATGTACGGGACTGCCACAAGCGGAGAGCGCACTCTCCGCAACCGCAAGCCCGAGCCCTCTGCAGACCGCGGCTGGGAAATCCTACTTGTCTCAGATGGTTCGACAGACCGCACTGAGGAGGTGGCTTTCCGATTTGCGCGCGATCACCAATTATCCCTGCATCCGAAGGGTACTGCGGGTCCGTGGACACCGCAGGCTGGTGAGGGTGTGCATATTCCGCCTGGCACGATCCGGGTCGTGAATCTGACGCGGAATCGTGGTAAGGGTGGTGCTGTCACGCATGGCATGCGCCATGTGCGTGGGCAGTATGTGGTTTTTGCGGATGCGGATGGTGCGAGTAAGTTTGATGATCTTGGGAAGCTTGTTGGGGCTTGTCGGGATGTGGAGGATGGGAAGGGTCGCGCGGTGGCGGTTGGTTCGCGTGCACACATGGTGGGCAGTGAAGCGGTGGTTAAGGTGAGCGATTCAGATGTTGGATATAATGTGTGGGAAACTGACTGTTTGTAGCGGTCGAAACTGCGCAACTTCTTGATGCACTCTTTCCACTTGATTCTTTGGTTGATGACGCCGCCTAAGACTGCCATGGTTAAGGATACGCAGTGCGGTTTCAAGCTGTTCTCGCGCAATGCCTTGCCATTTATTGTGCCGTATATGCATTCCGAAGGCTGGATCTTTGATGTTGAGATGCTTATGCTGGCTGAGTTTGCCAAGATCCCTGTGGCCGAGGTGCCTGTGGGTTGGAGAGAAGTGAAAGGTAGCAAGTTGAACGTCTTGCGTGACAGCATTGGCATGGCCTGGGGCTTGGCTGTCCTGCGGGCAGCCTGGTCACTGGGTGTGTATAGACAGCGATGATCGAGTCCGGGACTCGATTTCTTGATTTTTCTTCGATTTCGTTCATGGCGAAAACAATGCATCTTGACCGTTTGGATACTTACTCAAGTATATGGAGTACTGCTATTGGGATACAAATTCAACTACACATGCATGGTGACGACTCTGTAGATCCCAAGGTTAGATCGGGAGGCCAAGTGGCGAGATCCAAGCTTAATGCATTAGAGTCATTGATGTGGGTGCTACTTGAGTAATATACCTTCCTGGTACTTGTGAAGTATTCGAGTGCCCAGGTGGACCAAAAGCGAGTTCCACAGTCCCACACTCCTGCTGAATATGCAACATTTGGGGATATACTTACTGAAGTACTAGGCTAGTCCACGGGTGCCAATGCGTGGCTTCTCTTTGAAGTCAGGTAGAACTATTTGTACTTACGTTTGCGCAAGTGTACTCCGAGGTCATTAGATATAAAGACACGAGAGGCCATTCTAAAGTTTTGAATGATCCGAGACCCAGGTCGTAACGGTGAGTATATTCGGCAGACGAGCCCGCTCCGGAGGTCCAAAGCACCATAATAAATGCGATATGTTATCTGAGCAAGTTTCTAGCGCTACTTAAGTACTTCCAAGATTCCCCTAAAGTTGAAGTATACTATAATGAAGGCAATATCTACTGAGTCTCTTCGGAGACTTCAGCTAGAGGACTTCTAAGTTTGAAGGGGTTTTATAGCCTAGAGGTTGAGGCATCAGGCTATGAAATATTCTCAAGGTTCACGCGTCTGCATTGCAAAAAGAGTTAAGCCCCCGTCATCCTGGATGCCTGGTAAACTACTCGGAGTTGAGCTTGTACGGAGTATCTATAGATCCAAGGGTCATGTTACAATCCCAACTTTGGACTTGAGACACAAGTTCTGTATATTCGACATGACAATTGAAAGATCAACACTGGATTGCATGTGTTTCTTAGGGACTGGCGCCTTTCCTGTGTCTGCTGCTGTGTATACCTAGATATGAGAAAAAAGAGCTCCTTAGCCTCGATTTTGAAACCAGTCAGCCAATATTGGAGTCGTACAGCGCAAATATTTCTAAGGTTCGTCACAAAGATAGTAGCTTGCGGCCTATAGGGGAAGGCTTGAGAGGTGGCAAAATCTCAGACCCTGTAGATGAATGACCCTCGAATCTGGCCATGCAGGCGACTACAGATGTTTTGAATGGCCCGATCAACTCAAGGAACCATATGTCACCTCCAAGGTTGAAACGGGCACCCCAGGACTTCTAAAGTTGAATAACAGTTCGATACTTCTACGTTTGAATAAGAAATTGCTTTGAGGATTGTACATTCAGACATTTCGATGTTACTTATGTTGCTGCTGGGGTTTCTGTCTATGCAGAACCCTTTGGGTTAGTTGGCGATTAATGTAAATCGGCTTTCAAGCCCTGGACATTGGTGACCATTACCCAGGTGCTCTACACCCCTTTCGAGCACTGGCCAGGACAGCTTGAGAACCTCTTATCACCTTTGCTCTTGATCTTTCTTGTTCTCACTATCTGACCACGCGCACATACGAGTACCCTTTTATACTTAAGTACATTAGAAACTCCACTTTTCTCCAGGGCTCTAAAGCTGTGGCTATGTACAATGCATACATGTGCGCTTGGCTCTACAAAACACAGAACAGCAAGGGGCTCTAAAATAGAAAGTGATAGCCAAGATCTGTATCATGAATCATGATGTATATGAAATGTGCACAGTGCGAATCGTGTAACCCACAGTGCAGCTCTAGCTCCATGATCAGAATGCACTGTACGGAGTAAATGTAGAATATAATGACCAATAAGCGCAATAGATCAGAATATAAGTGTACACTGTACACCCCTACGCCAACTCCACACCTGCACAAGCCGAAAGACCCACAAAAAGAATTGACGATCTTCTTCGTTGTGCTACACATTCTTTGCGAAACAAACGTCATCCGATCCAAGCAAAGAGTGAGCTCGCCCATGGATGACTTAAGGGACAATTTTTTTAACGGATGATTGGTCCATCGGCGAAGAATGCGCATCGAGCTGACTTGGCCGAGTTGTACGGCCATGTCGGCGAAGTGCCCATTACGGCAGGGAAGTGCCCCTTCAGGTAGGGCAGTCTCTCCGTATGGGCTGTTCGGATGCCGATCAGACGGTCATATAAGGCGGCTATGGGACGGTGAGAATGGGCTGACACTTGCAGTATAAGAGAGGCCTTGATCTGGGATCAAAACTCTCAAAGACAATAATTGAAATCCCCGAGTCCAAGCTTTTAAGAGTTTGCGCTCATTTTCGAGACGAAAAAAAAAAAATTCTGACAGTGGCAAAGCGTTTACTCCCGAGTCGTTCCACGTTTTTATAAAACGGATTTGAGAGCCGCAGTCGAGAAAACAAATTCCTCAATGGCAAGACCATCGATATCCTCGCCTCTGCTCCGACTCCCGGCAGAGCTGCGTCTCAAGATCTACGAATATGCTCTGGCCGTCCCGAATGAGTACCTGGACAAGCCCCTGATCGTGATAGATGATCGCGGCAAATCATTCACAGCCCGTGGGCAATACAGAGCCTTATCTATGAACCCTCACTGGGAAGGCGAAGATGGCACTGCGCGAAAGTTGCTCGCCGTGAACCGGCAGATTCATGACGAAGCCGAAGACTACCTCTACTCAACCTATACGCTCTTCTTCCGCAACTCATTCAATCTCGATCGTCTGGCTGCGTTCCTCGGTACGTTGAGCGCGACAGCGCGCAGGCGCATCCGCAGCGTCGGCTTCGAGATCTTCTTCTTCGTGCACACGCAGAACGGGGTGCCGAAGCGCTCGCTCCGAGAATATGAGCACGCGGGTCGCACGCTTGCGCAGAAATTACCGTGCTGGCACAGTACACTGCTGTACCTGGATCCGCGGTTCTATTACCCGTCTGCCAATGTGGGTGGTCGGGATCTCACGGCCCGAGGGGTGTTCGATCTCGCCACGCGGTTCGGGGCCCTTTGTAAGGATGTGAGTTTTGTTCCGCTGCCGAGGGGAGAGCAGCATTTGCTTGAAGAAGCGCAACAATTTGTCTGGCGCAGTCGGTCACCGCCTAGACTGTCCGAGGATCGACGATCCATCAAGGGTTCCTCATCACTGGACTGGGACTTGAAGAAAAATGTCACGCCAAGCCGATTCACGTCATCCGTGTTCTGAGTGAATCCTTACTCGCCCTGCATTCTGATCTTGTGTCTTCTTTTATTTCCTTTTTCGGCATCTTCGTGCACTTCTCATTGGTTTTCTTCGTCATGCGATGATCCCGTGCTCTGACAGGCGTACTAGTCCTGCGCCATGACGTCTGAGCGCACTGAAGGGACTCTGATTTCTATACATTAGCAAGGGCATGGCGCAAATGGCGGGAATCGAGGCGTTTTATGTGTCTTTTTTTTTCTGGTGTTGTTGTTTTCGGGTTTCTTTTAACTCATATAGATCTATATCCATCCCCGTTCTCTTTCTTGATTCCTCCACATGTCCGTACACTATTACATAAATCATCCATGGATTCAGATCAGATCAGATCATTAGAATATGCACTAAAAGATGATCTCTCGCTGATCAGAAGAGCCTTGACGTCATGGGATATCCGTTCGCAGCGTAGTCGTTTCACTCGGCTGCTATGTAACCCCATTTTCCCCGGACCTTGATGTGGGGATATATTCTTCTACTTAACCCCTTTGTACCTGGCTACCCAAACCCCCCCAACCCAACCCGTTCGTCCATTCATTAACGAACGCGTTGTGGTCCGAGGCTTCACATGCGTGTCGGAAGCACTGCAGACTTCCGGAATTAGCTGCAGAACGCTGAGTTATTCGTGATTGACCGCTCCTCCACTAGCTCAGGCTCTGGGCCTTTGAAATTGAAATAGACAACGACGTGCATGTTGGGCACTGGAATTCCATACGTTTCTTATCGTCGTATCTACGGAAAAACAACTCCAGCGCAATGAAGCCCTCCAAACTCCCCGATGGCCACGGAAGCCTTTACAAAGAAGTTCGCTTCTCGCCAACTCAATCTCCATCCCGTCGCACAAAGTCCGTATCGGCTACTTTTCCTCCCACGATCACAGGCTACGGCCGAACCGCCTTCCACGATTCCGCACTCCTGAATTCCTTCGCTATGGACACCTCCTACATTGACCAGTCGCGCGCGCTACTCCAGAACCAACGAGTCAACTTCGAGGCGGAGAGGACATTATTTACACAAGAGAGGAAGTTATGGGAAAAAGAGCGGACATTGCTCCGAACTAAGATTGCCGAGCTGGAGGCATTGTTAAAGGACCAAGGGAAGAGAAATAATAAATTGGGGCCAGAGGCCGCTAAACTCGTGCTCGGCGCATCACAACTCAACAACACAAATGGCTTCACAGCTCAGGTATGGGAGGGATCAAGTCCAAACAGTCAACCTACGAGGGTTTTCGTGGACTACGAGTCCCCCAACCAAGCCCACATGTCGCCGATCTCCGAAAGTGGGATGAACCCACCGTCCCTGGATCGGGCCCTGTCACCTCAAGGGCAGCTTGCAGATCCATCTGGAGCGCCCGTGAGTCTGCCCGTGCCAATCGAAAAGCTTGACAGCACGTTAGACGGCATTACGCTGAAATCGACTGCATTGCCACCCGGGGTGGTCGCGCGGGTGATCACGCCGCCCTCGCCGTCACCCTTGGAAACCGAGGTCTCTCCTTCAGCCCCTGGGGAGGCTGCAAGGCCTGGCCTCGAGCACCGAAACAGTCTCAAACTGAAGCTGTCAGAACTCGGCCCGCCCAATGAAAGATTGCTCCGCAATGCAGGCCATACGCCTATGGCGATCATCGATGCCGATGAGAGCCAACGCTCCACAAAGGAGGGATCACCCCTCGAGGTTCCCTCGCAGTCTGAGGAAAATCCTCTTGCGCCCGTGGCAACTAACGTTCAGCCCTCTGAGAACAGGGTGTCTTATTTCCCGGAGCTGCCTGACTTGCCCGACGATCCCGCTCTCAAGGGCCCCCTGGGCCTTGTTAACGATGAGGAGCACGATAATGACTTTTTGAGCGCTTTAGACCAGAAGCTCCTTGATCAGGCTAAAAATATCCTTGGGTCCTCAGTTGAATCGGCAGATCCGAATGAGTCGGATCCCGAGCCTGAGTTTCCTAGCCAAGGCGACAAGGAGCCTGCAATCAAGTTCAGAAAGTCAACTAACTTTGGCTCAGCATTCGGGATTTCAAATTTGAGTTGAACATAAACTCCAATTTACGCTTTGGTCTTTTCTGTGATCTATACTCCGTGCAATGTGCGATGTATCTGATGTGGATACTCATGTTTCCTTTTCTGCCCCCATATGACCTGCATATCCCCAAGATGTTACAACCTTTGATTTTTGGCGAAATACCTGACGAGATTATGATCCTGATATGTGCAATATAACACCCATTTGTCTCACTGGTTTCTGGTTTCAGATTCTCCTGTCGGAGCTTTTACCGTTTCTAAGGTTACCTGGTTTGACAGGCACTGGCCCTAGCAACTCTACCACCTGGGACACCTCTCTATAGGGTGGTATTGGCGATCCTTGCGTGTGATGCATGGCATCAATTAAGGCCAAGCTCCTTATTGGTGTCTTTGAGACAAGTGAACCTTGTTGACAGCCTTTTTGACTCCCCTTGCATCATTGTAACCTTTCTTCCCCATTTGACCACACGTGCTAACCTTTCTCATAGAGAACCGGTTCACTGTATGCTATGCGATAACATGACTGGACTGAAGATGCTAACCATACACAGTATGGTCCGAACGCTCGGCTCCAGACATGCATAAGCTTTTGTCGCTTTGACCACTGGGGGTTCCAAGCTACAGCTTCATTCTAGTGAAGCATGATTCGGCCTCATTTCCACCATCTTGGACATAGAGCTCCGAGACTCGATGTCTCTCATCAATTCACTGTTCGGCACCTCCCGTGGCCCTGTGCCTTGCAGATCACTGCCCTTGTGGCTTTTGGGGAGCAGCCCCACGAAGGACCAATCTGTACCTTGCATCAACCTCCCTATCTGTCTCTATCCGATCCTGGATAGAGCCCTTGGCTCTCTCTGAGATGCCACTCAAACCGTAGGGCCTGCCTGAGCCTCGAAAGGTACAAAAGGATCCTTCCACGCGCCTCGATTATCATTCTTCATCCCCATCAATCACAATCGTTCACAGTCTCTTGACAGCCATTCGCTCTTCACTCACAAGCAACATTCTTTAAATATCTCGTCTCTATAACAAAGTCATTCAATCTTCGGATTCATTCTACCGAGCACATTCACTACATTTTTCTTTACGCAAGAACTTCTACCGCAACAATGGTCTCCACTACTATCAACTTCTCCGGCCTCCTGTGCCTCTTCCTCGCTCTCGGCCCTGCCACTATCCTCGCTTCCCCTCAGGTGCCCGGCCTCCCAGTCCACGACATCATCGACCACTCTGAGTCTACCAACGAGGACGGCAACCACGATTTCACTGCCGGCACCGGCATCAACGCAGGCATCCCTGACGGACCATCTTTCGACGCCGGCGCAGGTGTGCATACCTCCCACCGCGGCCCCTGCGGCCCCAACTCTGGCGACGACTTCACTGCCGGCAGCGGTTTCAACGCAGGGATTCCCGATGGTCCATCCTTCAACGCTGGTGCAGGTGTGCACGATCACCACGGAGGCGAGCCCTGCCCTGAGCCTCCTGTTGTGATCTTGCCTCCTTCCCCAGTCCCCACCGTGCAGACTTCCACCTACGTCCCGGTTCCTGCCATCGTTCCCACTCCCGCTCCCGTTGTGCCAACTTACACAACACCCATCTACGTCCCCCACACTACCCCCGCTGTCTACGCCCCTGCCGTTCCTTTTGTCCCTGTCGTCAAGCCTTCCACTGCTCTCATCCCTCACCCGGCGCCTGCACCTTCTTCCTCGCCTTCGTCCTCTCCCATGCCTGTCTTCAACGCTGGATCATCTCTTGCTCCTGCGTCCATCCTCGCAATTGCAGTCCCTGCAATCCTGGCTTTCCTCAACTAGATTATTCCTTTCCGGGATGATACGGCGAAAACGAATCGGCAGAGATACTCGACACAGCGGTATCTCAGGCCCTGTCTATGCTCATGATTGATCGATGATTGATCGCACTTGTGAATTTTCTTGTCTTGTCACTTGACCGTGTACACCTTTACTACATTTTTCCCTGTTCACTTTTTTCAAATGTTTCTGACGCTGGTGTACCCACCGATACCTGTATTCTCCGTGTCCATAGGACCGGATATCTATGTTCTGTTTTGTCTACTTTGTACGCTTTATTGACCGGATTCAGCGCTAGGTGTGCTTTGAAATATGGGCACTTATTTGGAAAATTTGTGTTTTACTTTGATTTTACTTTTACTTAAGTAGTGTGAATCTCAATATATTTTATTAGGATATGTCCTTCGTTCACTCCAAGATCACCTAGGCATGCTTATACTTCGGTCCACAGCAAACACCTCCCAGGTGGTTCAGATCAAGTACCTAAGTAGAAATTAATCATAGTGCTCTACGGAGTACATAAATACTTAATATATCTCCTGACTCTAGAGCTGTACCCAGGTGTGTCTTCCATCAACTACCCCATCGAGCACCTAGGTAATCTGTGACCTCCGCATGCCTTGCCAATCCACTAGTAACCTTGGTAGTCCACAGTTCTCCAGGGCTCCGGGTTTACCCACCACCTGGGAAAGCATTCTCACTGAAGGCAAAACTGCAGATTCAAACCAACTGCTTTCACAATACGATCAGTTTATATGTTAATCCTAGAACTCTGGATCCATGATTTATGATAGGAAAAAAGAAACCATCTCAAGCCACTGACATTGTACGTAGGGCGAAAAAAAGGAAAATATTAACTCGAAAAGACGGTCCCAAAGCAAATCAACGCCAAACTCATGTCGTGTCATGCATATCACATATTGGATTCTTGGAACCCAGGAAGAGGACGCAGATCAGGGTACGAAGGACACGGCCTGTTTAGCCTAGAGAGTATCGAATCCTATTATGAATATATCAAACGCCCATAGTGAAGTCGTGCTCAATACCCGGTGTCACACTGGCAATGAACTTCAGGAATACGACCAGATACTGATCCACCCGAATAGCCACCTGTTCTTCCTCGTCATGCTGAAGCATTTCCCACTCGTCTCCGTGTTGACCCTGCTGGTCGAGAGAAAGGTTCTTAGTCTCATCCACTAATCCTTCGAGCCCACCGCCTGCGCGCAGAACACGATTTGCTTCCTCTGGTGACTGGGTTTGTTTGAGTTTGTCGCGACGAAGTTTGAGCGCAGCCTCGGCACGATCTAGGAGCGTCTTCATTACAGAGGCGTGGCGACAGGGGTGCACACTGGCCATCTTGACGCTGCCGTCGAACCATGGGAAGTCCTCAAGAGTCACAGTCTTGTCCTTGTAATCGCCGACGATATCCTCCATCATTAAATGCGGAGGAAGGGGCTCTGATGCTGAAAGGTACCCAGAGAGGTAGAGGCGAGGTGTGCGGTAGAAGTTCGAGTAAGTGATGTAAAGGGTGTACGTACGAAGAGGTCTAGAGACATAGGTTAGATGCCATAGAGGAGAGAAGGCGTTCCAGCGCGAGACATGACATGAACATACTGTGTAGTACCTGACTGACCAGCCGGTTCACGGATGATGGCTTCCTCATCGTCATCATCATCCTCCATATCTGGAATCTCATCGTCTTCCTCCTGCTCGCCCAAATTTCCCGATTCATCAACGGTCCGCACGTCGCTGATACGGGCTTCTTGTTTATCTTTGTCGGCAGCAGTATCTCTGCCCCCTCCCGTCCGCAACCATCCATCTTCTCCATCGTGTGCTGCGCTTTCGCCCCCGTCACCGCCGGAGAGGTAATCCCTCACAATCTCATCTTCTAGTCCTGCATCCCCGGCGAAGTTGTCGTTCAGCCTCCTGTGGCAGGGAACACCACGGGTGACAAGGAACTGCTTTCCGGCTGGCAGGTAAGACACACGCTTAGCTGGGCTTGAGGCATCAGCCCAAGACCATGTGGGGAACTTGTAGACGAGGTAGTCTCCGGCGAGCACGAACTCCTCGGGAGTAATTTGTCCGGTATTGCGGAAAGTCGAGGTGCGCGACACCGGGGCGAGGCGATCCCGCCAGGTTGATAGTGTAGAGTGTAGGATATTCATGTTGGTTGAAAAGAAGTGAAGGCGTACAGAGACCGGCGGGGGTGATAAGCGGTGTGGGGCACATGATCCGCGTCATTGTAGGGAGTACTTGTCAGATGATAGCGTCGCGTATGTGATTTTGTAGAAAAGAAAGTGCTAGAAAGATCTTGGATTAGGTGCAGTATTTGAATTTTGAATTAAGTAGTCTGCTATTCAGAGTGGTATACTTTCTATGGAGTCTACTCACTTGTACTATCTACTAGTCCCTTACGACGATTTACATACTCGGACTAAGAGTCTATATCTTCTCACTCCAGGGTGACCTTGTTTAAATACTCTCTTTACTCCTGTCAGATCTACAAGTCTATATTATGGCACACTATGTACGGTCCCTATAACAACTAACTATTATCTGCTACTTAAGTAGTGTGTACGCCCCGGACTCCCACAATGTGCAACTCAAGACCAATCAGCTCGATAGCACAGATGTTCTCTCAGATTCTGAAGTTCAGTCAATACTCCGTAGTCCTGAAGTCACCGCTTATTTCAGAACTTGTTTCATAATTGTTCGACTTACAACTCGGCACGAAGAAGGGTTGAACACCTAACTTGGTCCACGGGTGGTGGCACGGTGCGATGGGCTATAGATCCATGAGCCTAGGTCTCTGATCTTGGAGAACGCCGTATAGCAAGGAGCGTCAAATACTCGAGATTCCATTTAATGATCCCACCGAACACGAGCTCCAGGGCTCAAGCTTCGAGATAATGTCGTGTTCCTCTTCCAAGGTTCTGTCAGTATGTCAAGACTGCTTGAGCAGTTCGGTAAAAGCGAGACTAGACCCCACCCCCTCATAACCAAAGTGTAAGGTCGACATCGATCAATAGCCGGCAAATAGAAAGGGTAGAATAATTGCCGATCCAGGGTCTAAGGGCCGCATAATATATGTCGGGTCGGCTCCACCCCCGCGAAAAGCGAGCTTAGCATCTTGGCACAGCCCTTTGGAAGGCAACGTGAGAAGTCCGGGGTCTACTTTACCTAAATCGTATACAGGCTATATTCAATATGCTGCAATCACATCTATTTGCCAAGAAAGCCAGTCGCCGGTGCGGAGATGCTTCATATGCCGATGTTCTGTCGAGATCTATAAAATCCCTGCTTCTAATCAGCCATTACAGTCTGGATCAACGAAATCTGTCCAGAGTCCTTGAGATCATTTGTGCAAGAGCATCTAGAAAAGATCATCAACCATGAGATTACTCGTGGGGCTTTCATTGTTATCTCTCATCTCTCCCTCCATATGCGTTCCTGCTGCAAACCTTCGTCTACGAACCGAGTCAACTCAAGTTGAACAACCATTGATCAAGCTCAAGCCCCAACAGAGCTCCTCTCGAGAACTTCTGAGCCTCGATGGTCTGTGGAAATTCGCTCTTGCGTCTGGTCCCAATGACACTACCACGCCCTGGACAGCCCCATTGCCCAAAGGCCTTGAATGTCCCGTGCCAGCTTCCTATAATGACATATTCGTCGATCGAGAGATCCATGACCACGTAGGATGGGTTTATTACCAACGTGATGTCATTGTACCCAAAGGCTGGTCCCAAGAAAGATATCTTGTCCGGGCTGAGTCTGCCACCCACAAAGGGCGTATATATGTGAATGACCACCTCCTTGCCGAGCATGTGGGTGGTTACACGCCCTTTGAAGCCGACATTACCGACTATATTGCTGCGGGGGAGAAGTTTCGTTTGACAATTGCTGTCAACAATGAGCTCACCCATGAGACGATTCCACCCGGAGAGATCTCAGTGGGCAAGGCCACGGGGAAGAGAGTTCAGACCTACCACCACGACTTCTACAATTATGCTGGTCTTGCTAGATCCGTCTGGCTTTATTCAGTCCCTCGTCAGCACATTCAAGACATCACTGTCGTCACAGATGTTACCGGTGCAGATGGCTTGATCAGCTACCAGATCAAAGTTGCCAATGGCACAAATGAGCAGATCAAAATCGAAGTCATAGACGAGGATGGAAATCTGGCTGCAAATTCCTCTGGAGTGAAAGGCACTGTGCGAATCCCATCAGTCAAGCTATGGCAGCCCGGTGCTGCCTATCTTTACCAGTTCCAGGCCAGTGTCGTGAACTCCCAAGGCGAAACAGTCGACACTTATAGCCTGGCCACTGGTGTGCGTACCGTCAAAGTCAGCGGGAACAAGTTCCTCATCAATGACAAGCCATTTTACTTTACCGGATTTGGAAAACACGAGGACAGCGCGGTGCGCGGCAAAGGTCATGACCAAGCATACCTGGTTCACGATTTCCAACTCTTGAACTGGATTGGCGCGAACTCGTTCCGAACATCACACTACCCATATGCTGAGGAGGTCATGGACTTTGCAGACCGACACGGGATCGTCGTCATCGACGAGACCCCTGCCGTGGGGTTGAATATCGCTCTATTGGGTCTGTCCGACAGTGATGCTAAAACCTTCACCTCGGAGGCTATCAACAACAACACCCAAGCTGCGCACAAGCAAGCAATCCGTGAGCTCATTAATCGGGACAAGAACCATGCCAGTGTGGTAATGTGGTCCATTGCCAATGAACCTGCCTCCCATGAAGATGGAGCACGGGAGTATTTCGAGCCGTTGGCCAAGCTGACTCGACAACTTGATGCAAGTCGCCCAATCACCTTTGCCAATGTCGGAATGGCAACGTATAAAGAGGATCGAATCTCTGATCTTTTTGATGTCAGCTGTCTGAATCGGTACTTCGGATGGTATTCCGAGACTGGAGATCTCGAGGAAGCCGAAGCAGCACTCGAAGAAGAACTGCTTGGATGGGAGAAGAATTTTGACAGACCCATTGTCATGACCGAGTATGGGGCTGATACGATTGCTGGCCTTCATTCTGTATTCGGGTTTCCCTGGAGCGAGGAGTTCCAGACGCAAATGCTTGCCATGTACCATCGAGTTTTCGACCGTGTGGGATCGATGGCCGGTGAACAGGTTTGGGCGTTTGCTGACTTCCAGACTAATTTGGGTATTCAGCGGGTGGATGGTAACAAGAAGGGCGTTTTCACTAGGGATCGGAAGCCCAAGGCTGCCGCACATGGCCTCAAGGCAAGGTGGACTAAGATGGCAGGTGATATCTTGGCTTAACATACCAAGGGTTCCTGTCCCGGGCCATATCTCGGTGGGAAGCACCATAAGGAATCAACGAGATAGATAATTTCACTGGCTTTAATTGCTTTCGGCGACTGATGCAGTCCCTCACTTCTAAATTGTGCTGTTGAAAAGTACCTATTTACGACACAGCATCTCTTAACTCCAAGTTTCATACCTTTTACCCCACACATGTTCATAAGCTGGAAGGTAATATGGCCAGTGATTCATGTGTCCAAAAGGTTTAGTGTTAAGGGAGAAATCAACATGGAAAATTTGAGCCTTAGCTCAACAACCTGCAAGCCCTTGCGGTGACCTGCTAGGCTTGCTCAATTGGCTGATCCGCAGGTAGTCTGCCCATCCATGATTGATAGGGCGTAGTCTTCGCTAGCCCAGGAAATCATGTAAGACCGGTACTTGTAATTTTGAGTGCAAATAATAACCACAGCCTTGGACCTTAGCCCTCGATGATTTTGGTGATGCATCCGACAGAAGCTACTCGTGCAAGGTAGGAGAGGTCTCGTACGGCTTGAAGGGAACCCAAGGTGAACTCCGGTGAAAATAGAACATTCGTCACAAGAGCTCGAGCCAACTCACTCGCCGTCCTCCATCATTCGGCGACGCTCCATCTCGGCATCGACTTGATCTGGAACCATCGGAATAGACCTGTCGTTCCATAGGCTGAGTTCAGCTCGCATAAACCCTTCCATACTTTTCATGCCCACAACCAAAAAGCCAAGCTCTTCGCGGTCGACATCAAATACCTCCCACCAGTCGCTATCGACTAGCTTGACACCCTCCTCGCGAGACGCGAGATATATGGCAGCCACAGCCAGTGCATTGGGCTGATGGGTCACGTAAAGCAGTTGCGGCGAAAGCAGGGCGGCATTGAGATGCCGCAGCACCCGTTGGGCGAGGGCAGGTTTTGACGAGCCCAGAGTTTGGAGATATGTCAATGCAATGGTATGGGGCAGGGCGACATGGGTGTCAAAGCCCAGGGTGCGAAGGATGACGGATTCGATCTTAAGGAGAACCTGCCGTGCGGCCTGGTAGCCGCCCTCTGACAGAATGTAGGTTTCAGAGGAGGGTGGTGTTTGAGGAGAGCCACCTTGCCTCACAAACCACAAGGGTGAGGCGTCCTTGGATAGAAGGAAGGTATATACATTGAGCACGGAGCGAGGGGAAGTGGGCTGGAAGGAAAGCTTGGCGGTCAAGTAGAGAGCTGCGGCGGAGACATCCTATGCCAATTAGCGATTTAGGACAGGCTGTTTAAGTATGCTGGGTATGATTTACCTTTACTGGGTAGATGCGCAAACTGCCACCGTCGGCGCCAAGCCAGAATCGCGTAAATATGACGATTGCCTGGGCGATGATATCTTGGGATAGGTGTAATAGCACCCCGGCAGATTGTGTGAGCTGGGCTCCTGCACAGCGGATCGAGGTTTCGAGATCAGATGGCACACCGTCTAATGAAGAGGAGGAATTGGAAAGCTGATCGGGGGTTGCCAGGGCGTTGGACAGGTGCTTCAGCGCCATGATTTAGGAAGAACGTGCAATGACGCAAAAGCCTCGTGCAGCTGAGACCATATGCAGAGCGGGGAGCGGGACGCGAGGGCAATGACGGCAACGACGCGAAAGTGGTATAGTGGGAGATGCTCTATGGTTATGGGTAGTATGTTCCGATCGGATTGGAAAAGACTTGGTGGATCGTGGTGGAGAGAAAGAGCTCCATCGCCAGCCACCGCTATTTTCTCCAGCCTCTTTAGTTTCCTCCACGACTTTATTTGGGAGAATAAAACAACTTGACGTGTGAAGACTGAAACACTTACTCTCGAACTAAAAGCTTCGAATTCGTTGAAACGTTTGAAATTAACGAACATCCAGGGGTTGTGATCAGCCCTTACCACTCCCTATTCCTATTACTATTCCTTACTACAGAAAGGTAGTACAGCGCCACATTGGGCCTGAACAGAGCTGGGCCTTCAATCCCCTGTGACATTTTCTCCTACCATGTCCTTCGATCTCCCCCAAGCTCCTGTGGCCCTACATTCCCGTGGCGCACTGTCCCACGAGACCGTTGCCTTGACGCCCCTAAGATCGACAGAGCCGTTGACACCCCGTGCAAACAACGTACCTTTACACCGTCGGGCAAACACCGAACTTGCCAGACCTCCACGCTTTCACGAAGAACTCGAAGACACAATACCAGAACCTCCGAAGAATACTTGGACGGAAACCACACCGAAGAAGAAGCTCGAGGCCAGAGCTCGGGTCTTATCAGATTGGTTTCAGGGTAAATCAGACCCGGTGGATTTGGGTCTGAAAATGGCACCCAACGCTTCAGATGGGTCAGGGCCCGAATCACGATCGCCTTTCGTCTCACATACTCGGCAACACTCGACCCCAGTGACAAATCGTTTCTCGTTCTTCGGCCTCCGTCGACAGCCCAGCAAGCCCAACTTCCCAGAACCAGCCGAAGACGAATTCCTCAATCTCGATATCACAGCTGCGCTGTCATTACCCGAGTCGGACTCTGACTCTGATGACGAGGCGCTGGATGCCTTCCGTCACCAGGCCGATAAACTGCTACGACGCATGCAAGATGCCTACAAGCAACGCACCTTCGCCATGCACCAAGCACTGGCCGATAAGAACGAAAAGCAAGAAGAGCTCGAAGAGACTCGCTCGAGGGTCGACAATCTAAAAATGCAGCTGGACGGCATGGCAGCGAAGGTACTTGACCAGGAGAAAGCCATGCAGGCCATGGCCGAGGAGTTGGAACAGGAGAAACGGTTGCGAAAGAGCGAGGAGTCACGGAGTCGCAGCCGCACAGTCCGCACAGTGCCTGTAGACGATGAACCCTCTTTGGCGCTCCAAACTCCTCGTCGTGGCAGCAAACGCGCTAGCCACAGTACATTCACTAGCGACTCAGGCTTTGAGTCTGGGGACGAAAGCATTGCCGATAGCGTTTTCTCTCAACGGGAGGGGATCGAATCTCCCACCTCTACTCTGGCGGCGCCGTCTCCGAACTTGTCGCAGATCGCCTTGTCTACGCCAACTGGCCCGACACCAACTCCTGCCATCCAGAAGAGTCTGGTCGCAGTCACCAATGGCCCAGCACCTGCCCGGTCATCGGCATACGACCGCGTGCTCAAGGGTCTCGCCTCCACGCGTTTGGGGAGCTCCTTTGGTGCGAACAACGCGTCTAATTGCACCAACTGTTATGGTGTGCCGGCCTCCGAGGCCTGGAGTGTGATGGGCGTTTTGAAAGAGGAGAACCGGGGCCTGAAAACTAGACTTGGCGAACTTGAAGTCGTCATTGACGATTGCTTGGGCATGGTTGGTCCTTGAGGCTACTTCTGCCGTTTCATACAATGTTGATCTCACATAGTGTCTATACAATGCTGGCATGGAATTATAGGACCAAGGGAGTTTAGTATTCAGTGGAGCACAGAATTGAAGACATTCCAATCAAGGACCCTTTTTTTGACCATTCCTTACTTGGAAGCTCCTTGGGCCCCAAACCCGCTTAGTTAGTACCGTGGCCTCTGGGGTGTGGGGATACGAATAGCTTGGAGGATTTGGGGGTGCACAACCTTCGGAATCGGAGCTTCCAGTAGGAAAAGGACCGGAAAATTGAAATTGAATATAGAGCGTGCAGTAGTGTATAGTAAAGATCGTGTTGTCCTTTTGACTGTTGAGTCAGTAGGAGTCAAGGTGGTTGCGGCGAAGACCAAGTGGCCTTAATTAGCGCGGAAGCGAAAAGTGACCAACGAACTTCATCTGTCCTCTTCTTCCCTTTCCCCCCCAATCTCTTCGACAACCACCCTTCTCCTTTTCTTTCTGATTTCATCCTTCTTCTCCCTCAGCTGGTTCTCGACTCCAGCTTTCTTCTTCTTTTTAGTGATTAGGGAGCAAGTTAGCCACCATGAGCGGCCGTGAGTCCCCAATGCCTCCCATCGCACGCGATCGCGACACCCCATCTCGACGCAGCTCAATTGATCTTCAAATACTGATGAGGGCTTACAGTACGCTTCCTTGACTTGATCAAGCCCTTCACGCCCCTCCTCCCGGAAGTGGCAGCTCCTGAGACTAAGGTCCCCTTCAACCAGAAGCTGATGTGGACTGGTGTACGTTGCCTCAAATTTGTATTCGCGCGGAATTGGCTAGGATGCTAATAAGGAATGTTGCAGTTGACTCTCATGATCTTCCTGGTCATGAGCCAGATGCCTCTCTACGGTATCGTTTCATCTGACACCTCGGACCCCCTGTACTGGCTCCGCATGATGTTGGCCAGTAACCGTGGTACTCTCATGGAACTGGGTATCACCCCTATCATCTCCTCCGGCATGGTCTTCCAGGTATGCGATACTATAATCTCCTTGTGCAATTGCGACAAGAAAGCTGACCATGTATCTCTAGCTCCTCGCTGGTACCCATCTCATCGACGTCAACCTTGACCTGAAGACCGACCGCGAGCTCTACCAGACCGCCCAGAAGCTCTTCGCCATCATTCTCTCCTTCGGCCAGGCCTGCGTTTACGTCCTGACTGGTCTCTACGGCCAGCCCAGCGATCTCGGCGCTGGTATCTGTGTTCTTCTGATTGTCCAGCTCGTCGTTGCCGGTCTCGTTGTTATCCTGCTCGATGAGCTCCTCCAGAAGGGCTACGGTCTCGGCAGCGGTATCTCTCTGTTCATTGCTACCAACATTTGCGAGTCTATTGTCTGGAAGGCTTTCTCCCCCACGACCATCAACACCGGCCGTGGTCCTGAGTTCGAGGGTGCCATCATCGCACTCTTCCACCTTCTCCTGACCTGGCCCGACAAGCAGCGCGCTCTGTACGAGGCTTTCTACCGCCAGAACCTTCCCAACGTCATGAACCTCCTGGCTACTCTCCTCGTCTTCGCCGCTGTCATCTACCTGCAGGGCTTCCGTGTTGAGATCCCCGTCAAGTCTTCCCGCCAGCGTGGCATGCGCGGTTCCTACCCCGTCCGCCTCTTCTACACCTCCAACATGCCCATCATGCTGCAGTCCGCTCTCTGCTCCAACATCTTCCTTATCTCCCAGATGCTGTACTCCCGCTTCTCCGAGAACATCCTCGTCCAGCTCCTCGGAGTCTGGGAGCCCCGTGAGGGATCTGCCCAGCTCTACGCTGCCTCCGGTATCGCTTACTACATGTCGCCCCCTCTCAACTTCAAGGAGGCTCTTCTCGACCCCATCCACACCGCTGTCTACATCACTTTCATGCTCGTTGCCTGCGCCCTCTTCTCCAAGACCTGGATTGAGGTTTCTGGCTCCGCTCCCCGTGACGTTGCCAAGCAGCTCAAGGACCAGGGTCTCGTCATGTCTGGTCACCGTGAGCAGAGCATGTACAAGGAGCTGAAGCGCGTCATCCCCACTGCCGCCGCTTTCGGTGGTGCTTGCATCGGTGCTCTCTCCGTTGCCTCTGACCTTCTCGGTGCCCTCGGCAGCGGTACTGGTATCCTTCTTGCCGTGACGTGAGTTTTCCCCCTTTCATACTTCTTTCGTGTTCCCAAGCTAACAACTTCGATTAGTATCATCTACGGCTACTTCGAAATTGCCGCCCGCGAGGGTGACATTGGCGCTGGCCTCAAGGGCCTCGTCCCCGGCAGCTAAAAGAGACTGCCTTTTCACGAGCAGCATGACTTAGGATCTCCTTTTTGATTCTTTGCAACCTCTCTGTTTAGTTTTTGTCTTCTTTCTGCTTCGTTTTACTTTTTGGGTGGATGGATAGACACCGTCTGTTGCGGCTGGGTTGATGTGCTGCGTCATTGCGACCCCATCGCCATGACGGCTTTTGGTCGTTGATGGTATGAGTATACCAGAACTCCAAACCCCCATTGCGAGGGATCAGAACACCCCCCTTGGCTCGGCAGACGGTGCCCAGTGATGAAAAGCGCCCTCTCAGGGTCCTGTAACCATATGTGTCTAGAAAACCAAAATCATATATTCAATCTCAAACGATCACTCATACCCTGTAATCTAAAATACTGTTCCTTGCTCTGTGCTACATGCTTCAGCAGATCATTTCATGTACATCCTGAAATACCTGGGTTAGGGCTCTATATCTATGGAAGTTGTCAAACGCCTCGTCAAGATGAATGACCTTGAGAGGCCAAAACTCGTCGTGAATCAACCTAGGACGCAATGATACCCCAGAATATCCAAGTATAACAACAGACTTTGATGCTCCTGTTCTAGGGTCTCCAAGGCCATTCAAGGCTGGGCCAGTTGGTCTTCGTAAAGTTCAAGCGCAAATGTACCATTCTTTATTTTTAAACGCCAATCGCTAGAAACGTTTCTCGGGTACGATCTTAAGTACGGTAGTCACCGTTGATAGTCACATACTCATGACTGAAGTCACAGAACCAGTAAACAGCATCTTCGCCACCACAGCCAGCAGCACCCTTCTCACCACCACCGAGATCGACCTCGATCTCGAGGTCCTCATTCTGGAGAATAGCACTAGCCCGCTCTTCATCGACGGTCTCCGGCTCACCGTTAACAAGCAGCTGCAGAGTAGCACTTCCGTCCACAGGACGGAAGCTAACAGAGGTACGCTCAGGGACAACAGTGCCCTCAGCAACACCCTGTGTGTATCCAACAGCACACAGGATACGACCCCAGTTTGCATCCTTTCCGTAAAGAGCAGTCTTCACAAGCGGCGATCGAGCAATAGTAGAAGCAATCTGTCGACCAGACTCGTAGTCTGGCGAGTTACGCACACGAACAGTAACGAACTTGGTGGCGCCCTCGCCATCCCGAACAACCAGCTGCGAAAGCTCCTGGGCAAAGTCAGTAACCACACCCTGCAGCGCGGTGTAGTCAGCGCTGGCAGAGGAGGTAGGAGCGCGGACGATCTCGCCGCCTGCAGCACCGTTGGCCAGTACGGCGATCGTGTCGTTGGTGCTAGTGTCGCCGTCAATGGAGATCGAGTTGAAAGAGCGGTTCACGGCGTGCTTGAGGATGGATTGAAGGGCTGCGGGCTCGACTGCTGCATCTGTGCAGAGCACACCCAGGAGAGTCGCCATGTTCGGGTGGATCATGCCTGCGCCTTTGGTCATGCCTGCTAGGCTGTAGGTGCGGTCTGAGGAGGGCAGAGTGAATGTCCGGGAGAGAAGCTTGGGGAAGGTGTCCGTGGTGCAGATTGCGCGCGCGGTGCTGAGCCAGGCATCGTGGGTGGAAGCCAGGTTGGAGTGTGCTGTTGGGATGCGGTCGAGGATCTTGGTGATGGGGAGACTGGTACTCTGTTAGTCCGAGGGGTCTGAATTGAATGCGCATAGCAGTCATGGTGTATTACCGTTGTCCAATCACACCGGTACTCATGACCAGCGAGCTGTCGTTCTCAACATTGCTGCACTCGTCGACCTTTCGTCCCATCGACAAGGCATCCTCAAGACCACCCTTACCGGTCACAGCATTGGCGCAGCCTGAGTTGATGACGACAGCACGAATGCCATCGCCCTTTCGGCTCGCCAATGTCTTCTTACTGACCTGCACTGGTGCAGCTTGGAACTTGTTGGTGGTGAACACCGCTGCGGCCGAGCATGGCGTCTCCGAGGCGATCAGAGCCAAATCCGGGAAGCGGGTGTTGGATGCCTTGACGCCAACGTGGGTGCCGGAGACTTTGAATCCTTGAGGGTAGGTGCCGGTGGTGGGGATATAGCGCTGCTTGGAGGCCGGAATGGCCATGTCCAGCGGTGCGGAGTAGCATCGGACCTGGCCCTTGGCCATACGAGCGAAAGAAGTCGCCATTGTAGCGGATTGAGTTGCTAGAACCATGTGTATATGATCTCTATGGCAATTTCTGGCTCATAGACCCAATTCTCACTCCCAAGGTTGCTGTGAAGAGGGAGTGAGTCAAAATGTCCCCGGTCCCGGAGCTATCGATTCGGCAACTGATAACGCGGTATGAGCCCACAGTGCAGAGCTGTCGCAATGAGTGCAATCGCAACTTGAATTGTTCGTTTAATTTAAGTGTAATTATTTATTCTTGAGAGGAATCTGCTGCAATAAATTCTCACTTTTGGGGTACTAATGTCTACATATTGAGCGCTTTTTCTAGTCCAAACGATGTAGCATGCGAGGTGTTCATGAAGGCCACGACTTTTAGTACTGTGAGACCTTAAGAGATCTCAAATCAAGACTGGGATACACATCTCCAAGCATTGGTCTATCCTGTATGGGTTTGACTCAATTGTAGCTCTAATTAGCATTGCTCTATACTTAGATCTGGACATCCGAACGGAGTCGGAGAAACCCATCCGCTCTATTGTTCCAAGATTCTAATTCCTGCTGTACAGAGTACACTGTCTACAGTGAAGCCCTTGATACATACTCCATACCAGTGTCAGACCTGCAGCTCCCTGCGATTCCAAAGAGCTTTCCATATTAACCCCTTGCGTCCCGACCCTTGTGCACATACTCCGGATCTGATGGTACTGTTGATTCCTTCCCTTGTCGCGTCTACGTGCACCGTATGCTGACTAGATCACCATGAAGCGCAGGCTCTCCGATGCCGGCGACCAGCCGAAAGTCTCAACCCCTAAGAGACGCAGAACAGCTCTCGAACAGTCCAATGGCACCTTAAATGGCAATGCCCCTAATAACGCGCCCTCAAATGGCGACTCTGAACTTCCTCCATCACAACTCGACCAATCGACGCCAAAAAAGACCAACGGCGTGTCCGCGACGCCGTTACAACAATCTGGGCTGAAAACGCCCACCCATAAGTCGAAGGCTCGTGGCCTGTTCGCTACACCTACCAAGCCCAAATCTGCCACTGCGGCCACCCCATCGCGGGTGAAGAATGCAGACCGCTCGGCAAGAAAGAAGAGCGCGAGAGTGCTGTTCGAACATGATGAAGATGCTGCCTGGGACGGATCAGAGCGCTTAGCGGAGGAAATCTTGCAGGGTGATGAACCTGAACCTGAACCAGAGAACCCCGACCAAACTGTGGCCGAGAGCGTTGAACCCGATGATGCTGCAGAGAAGGGAGAAAAACAGCCCAAGCGTCGCGCGGGTCGGCCAAAGGGCGCCAGGAACAAGCGTTCCCCCACGCCCGAAGGCGAGCTTCCTGCCCACGAGCGATACTTCTTTCAGAACCGAGCCGGTCCCAACAAGACCTCCAATGCCACTCTCAACAAGGTGCCGCTGTTAACGCACGAAGAATACTTTGAAAAGCTGGAACATTACAAGGATCCTTGCAGGGAAGAAAAGGAATACCTGCTATCCTTGCACCACCGGTCCTTCCCGCAGTGGGCATTCGAGTTTGACGAAGGCTTCAGTATCTGTCTATTTGGATACGGCTCCAAGCGCAAGCTCGTAGACCAATTCGCAGAATGGATATACAACCACCGTCTATCAGACTCTGCGAATTCACCCATCGTTATCGTCAATGGTTATACGCCTGGCATCTCCATCCGAACAATCTTCGCTACGATCGTCACAGCCGTGATGGGCGAAAGTGCCCCGACTAAACTGGGTGCGCAGCCAACTGAAGTCCTCGAGCTCTTACAATCCGTTCTCCAATCCCGCCCAGAGGATCAAGAACCGGTGACTGTTCTGATCAACTCAATTGACGCACCGCCTCTGCGCCGTGCAGCCAATCAAGCACTGCTAGCCCGTTTGGCTGCCACACCACGCATTCGCGTCCTCGTCACAGCTGATACCCCTAATTTCCCTGTTATGTGGGACATCAGCCTGCGCGACCAGTTCAATCTGGTCTTCCACGACTGCACTACGTTCCTACCATTCTCCGCGGAGGCGGACGTTGTTGAAGAGGTCCATTCTCTACTTGGTCGCAAGGGCCGTCGCGTTGGCGGAAAGGATGGTGTCGGCTTTGTGCTCAAGAGTCTTCCCGAGAACGCACGCAACCTGTATCGACTCTTGCTAACGGAGTTGATCACTGGTCTGGATGACGGCCACCAGTCTGACGATGAAGCTCCGGTCGATGGTGGCAGGTCCGAGGAAACTGGTATCGAGTTCCGTATGCTTTACCAGAAAGCAACGGAAGAGTTTGTCGCGTCTTCAGAGATGATGTTCCGAACTTTGTTGAAGGAGTTCCATGATCACCAGATGATCACTTCGCGCATGGACGCCAGCGGAATGGAAATCTTGGGTGTGCCGCTCTCTCGTGATGAGATGGAGGGCGTGCTCGAGGATCTGGTGCTAGGGTAGCGTAGATTCCCCAATTATCTGTGGCATAGATCAAAACTCATGATACCCCTGTACGAATGAAGTGTTACCTATTTAAATTTAGACCCAGAGTTTTATCTTTGTTCCCACAAACTCTTCTGATCTATATACAAAAATCTACCCAACGGTCGATCTCAAAAGTTCGCAAACGCTGCCATAGCCATCATTGCACCAAAACTGATCTTGAATGGTCGGTGTTCACTCATAGCACGGTGCAGGTCAACGTTCTTGACATATTTTTGCATCCGATGCAACGGAAGGATGTTGTATCCCTTGGATGCAGCGTACTTTGACAATCAGCACATTGACCATGAAATACACCAACTTGAAGCCAAGTTCGAGTTTGATAACCAAAAAGGTCTTGACATACCTCAACAAAAACAACTCCCATACCCAGTAGAACCACCAAGGCCTTGGAGAACGCCCTCAATCCAACACCTGCTACAAGCCCCAAAACACTGCCCAAACTAACCTGCCGCATGCTCTCGGCATTCAACAGCCCAGTTCGTGATGACTTCCCCACGGGCTTTCCCTCAACTGCCCACTCCGGCTCCTTCTTGAAGGTCGATTGCTGTGGCAGAGGTGAGGCGTAATCGCATAGCATTGGTGCGGCGCGGAACGGTGACAAGGGGTGCATGGTTGCGGCGGACAGCCCGATTCCAACACCCAAGCCGAGGCGAAGGATGCTTGAGGAGGGAGTTAAGAGTCTGAATGCCATTCTGGTTACAATTGAGTACTGAGGTGCAGGTTACAGAGTTGCGAGGTAGAAGCTCGCCGGTTGAGGGTTGGGGTGATAAGATACCGCGTGACGTCACCGATGGCTACATATCGGCTCGTTGTAAGGGTAGGAGTGAGGAGTGCAGAGTAAGGAGAACGGGAGTACATGTTTCGCAGTGAGGCTGAGATCATTGGCTTTACGATTAGAACACTTTATGTTGTAACTACCTTCATATGATATGAGGTACAGAGCATGCAGGCATATGTTGGAATAGATATTTGCAGAACTATGCAACATACTCCATCCAGACAGCTTGGGATTCATGTTGCACAATCAGCTTATATGTTCTATAAAGGGTTCCCAGGGTAGGGTTTCCTATTCCAGCAAATTCAATACCTATAAGCATACTCAACTTCCTATTCGAGTAATGACTCTGTAAATGCCAAGTCCGAATGTTACAGCAATACGGGCGGTGGATTCAACGGGGGGCAACGGAACAACTCCTCGGGAAACGCGCGGACCTTTGCGAGGGGTACTCCGGTTGTTGGCCTGAGGCATCAGGAAAGTATATTCTCATATTGAGTCACCTCTGGGTCTCTCCATTTTTATTTCTCCTCTTCTCCTCTCTCTCTTCTGTACTCATACTTCTCTTCTCACTTGTACTTCTTTTACATCCTTACAATAATTCCCAATGGCTGCAAACGGTACTCAGAGCAGTGACTTCACTGTCAAGGCGGGTCTCGCCCAGATGCTGAAGGGTGGCGTGATCATGGACGTCGTGAACGCAGAGCAGGTAGGTCCTCACATATTCAATTGCAAATGCAGAGTACTAATCTATCTCTCAGGCTCGCATCGCTGAAGAAGCCGGTGCTGCCGCCGTCATGGCCCTCGAGCGTGTCCCCGCCGATATTCGTGTGGAGGGTGGCGTTGCGCGCATGTCCGACCCTACTATGATTAAGGAAATCATGGAAGCTGTGACTATTCCCGTCATGGCCAAGGCTCGCATTGGACACTTCGTTGAATGCCAGGTTAGTTCAATTGCGCTCTCATACTCTCCCATACTCTCCCCACTCCCGCGGCGCGGGGGAGGGGTAAAGTGGCGCCCCCGTGGCGGGGGCAAAAAAAAAAAGGAACATAGCTAACAATTGCCACAGATCCTCGAGTCCATTGGAGTTGACTACATTGATGAGTCCGAAGTCCTCACCCCCGCCGACGATGTCTACCACGTCACCAAGCACGGCTACAAGGTTCCCTTCGTTTGCGGTTGTCGCAACCTCGGCGAGGCCCTCCGTCGTATCTCCGAGGGTGCTGCTATGATTCGCACCAAGGGTGAGGCTGGTACCGGTGACGTTGTTGAGGCCGTGAAGCACATGCGCACCGTCAGCGCACAGATTGCCAAGGCCCGTGGCATCCTCCTTGCCAGCGCTGATGCTGAGCCCGAGCTCCGCGCATTCGCCCGTGAGATCGAGGCACCCTACGAGCTTGTTCGCCAGGCTGCTGAGCTTGGTCGTCTTCCCGTTGTCAACTTCGCCGCTGGTGGTGTTGCTACCCCCGCTGATGCGGCGCTTATGATGCAGCTGGGCTGCGATGGTGTCTTTGTTGGCTCCGGTATCTTCAAGTCTGGTGACGCTAAGAAGCGTGCTCGTGCTATCGTCCAGGCTGTTACTCACTACAAGGACCCCAAGGTTCTTGCTGAGGTTAGCCAGGGTCTCGGTGAGGCTATGGTCGGTATCAACGTCCGCCAGATGCCCGAGGGCGACAAGCTTGCTGGCCGTGGCTGGTAGATGCGCTCCTCCGTTGTTTTTTTTTTGCCCTCTGTTTTCCAGCATTGATCATTGCGTCTCACAAAATTTTTGTACATGAGCCATGAGCAGATGTCCTACGTGACGTTTGAACTATACGATTTCCAAGTTATGTGTTGTGTTTTGAATGAATTGATATAGTAGTATGTGTATGTATTGCATAGGCTTTATCTGAATTTGAGAACCGTAAATAACGGATTCCCGAGTCTCGATAAAATTTGAGAAGTTCAGCATGATGGCCGCCGGAGCACAACCAACCATAATTCTCGTTGATCCGCGCGGGACGAGTAGATCGTTTGGGGCTAATGCGACCAATGGTCGGGGTGGAGCGGGGCCCAGAAGCCAGCCTTCTGGAAGCTTTGGCTGATGAAAGACAATATTGCTGATCTCCACCAAGTTGTATCTACTAGATAAGCCGTCTGGTACTACAAGTGTAAACTTTAGAAGTTGAGTACTAGGTTCTAAAGAGTGCAGTCTGAGTTCACAGGCACAAGCAACTATTGAAAGCACCAACTCCATATGTAGGACTTCCAGGGTTGCTCAATTCTTTCTTGCCCAGCGACTCCAACCTCTCACCGAGCTACCAAGATCCACAAGGTCCCCAAGGTTTCACATCTATTCCATACTCGTATCATGAACACCTGTTGTCGTATACCCGGCCCTAACTCGACTATCCCTCGGGTTGTTGCCCAGAAGTGTCGTTTTCTATGTTCTCGCTGAAATTCATCAATCTCTACGGAGTACACGTACACTTTCTCATCGTCGACCTCATTTCGGAAGAGCAATTGGCGCCTAGTGCCAAGATTCTCGTCAATTCTTGGTTCCCTTTAGATGTGGAACAGTACTTCCAACCAAGCATCCACGAATGTATGATCTGATGGCAATTCAACAAGTACAAATTCAACTCGAGAAGACAGATTCAATCTCCAGAGAAGCTTCGACCTCGGAACTTCGGAAAAAGCCAAGAAACCACCCAGTAAATGCCGTTGCCAACCTCGTAGGCACGAGGAAAGACATGAGCTGATAGGCCACCAGTGCCGACTCACCGAGTCACCGAGAGTCTGGGGAAAGGTACCTGTAACCTTGAGTCGGCAACCACCAATTAGGATGTCGGTTGTCAGCCCGAACTCATTACTCCGCTCCGAATTCTCCGGCCCGTCGACGGGCAATCGCGGAAGGCAGTATTTTATTTCTACTCCTATTCGCGGAAAACGAGGCTTCTTCTGCCAAACCTTGGAACCTTGGAAGGTTCCCCATCTATGGGTTACAGAAGCATATATCAGTCCCGAAGAAGGCTGAGGCTCAAAGCATACTTGATATCTCCGAATTGGCTAGAACAATGAAACGATGGCTTGGATGTCTGCCTGGGTAATATTTGAGACTGGGCATGATGGATGCCTATGGCCCAAACAACACCATTTTCTCCCATCCTCTGCTCTCGCCCGCAAGTTTCATGACGAAATCATGTTCCTCTAAAGGAAATGGCCCAACAATAGTTTTTCTCAACTTGAGAATCCCAGTCTCAATGAGGCGAACCGTCTTTACAACGTCCTCTCGACTCTGTGCAAACTGGCCGCGCAAAGTCAAGCAATTTGCCATGATAAGTGCGTATGGCAATGACACATTGTCGAGGATAACCCCAGCAAAGCAACACCTTGAAAGTCAGCATTAAGTCCCAGAACTGAATCACGAGAGCCTCACCTGCCATAACGCTTCAATGCCATCAACCCGGCTACGATATGTGTCGTAGAAGCCGCGCCAGGCGGCGAGTAATCAATATAAGCGTCTGCACCATGTCCACCAGGCGTTGCATTCCTCAAATTCGCAGAATCAAGCTCTGTATCACCTGTCAGAGCCACTGGAGTAACCCTACGGCCATCTTCGCCCAAATGCGTGATCAGTGCATCAAGAGACTCCCGACTCCGACTCCCAGCCACGACATTTGCACCGAGAGCCAATGCCACAACGACAGCACTGGAGCTAAAGAATCCAGTCGCAGGAATCACAATCACGGTTTCACCCGCTCGGACGTCAATTGCATTCGCGGCGCCCATACTCGGCATCAAGCTCGCAATCTCCGCCAATTGATTCAGGGAACCGTATCTCGCGACTTTCGTTTCATCAACAGCATGCACATTCTCCACTGGGAAGCGAGCGAGCTCGGCAAAACACCCATTCTTCCAATATCCAGAAGAGAACTCTAGCTCATGTGGTGTCATACCGCCGTGGTAGCCTGGTTTGATTTAGTAAGTTTGACTGGCTTATATCAATGCCTCGTACCTAGCACAATACGTTGATCTGGTGACTCGCGTAGTCGGACTATATAGTCGCAGAAGACTAATTGGCCTGGCTTGAGGGTGGTGTCGGGCCCGGCTTGTTCGATGCGGCCGACACAGCATGTACCAAAGATTAAAGGCATTTCTAATGGGTAGTCGCGTGCCCCGCTGATCACTTCTGGTATGTAGTCCCATACTGGGGCTGCGAGGACACGGACGATGACTGTGCCTGGGTCTGGGGCTGGGAGTGGAACTTCCTCTAGACGAAGATCGTTGGAACCGTGGAGGGTGAGTGCTTTCATGGTTATCTGCATGAGACCTTTCAATATCTAGACACTCTAGGCCGGGCTGGAGTCGTGAGAGATAGGAATTGGTGAGAATAATATGAGACTGAATGATTTTCTAAACGTTTCGATGGGCATGTCTAATCATTTATAGCCCGCGAAATGCGTGAAGACTGGGCATACTGAACAATGCTAAACGATATAGACTTAGCTCTGCGCACTGGCGGACCCACTGGAATCTCACGTTTAGCCCTGGAAGGGCTCTTATTCGCCAGTGCGGATAAACACATGGGATTGGACTCCATCACTCAAGTATGATAGGTTTAAGATTGAACTTGTACTATAATCTTACCTCTGAATACCTAGGTACTCGAGGCCACTTGAACCTCAGAAGTTATCAATTCCCAATTAGGACGTTTGGACGCTGCAAGCTCAGAAAATTCTCGTAGTTGCTATTAGACCAAAAACAACCGCGCATCTCATGCAAATGGATATCTAAAATCGAAAACCGAAGTTGCAGGACCCAACTCCAATCATATGCACCAAAGCCCATTACTAGACATAATCAAATTCCACCCTTCGGCATTTCAGCCAGAGGTCCCGCACAAGGTCTATGGAGGGAGTCGCAGCACCCCGAGCGATAACAAGCGACTCTAAGAATCGCGATTTATCTTGCGGCGAGAGAAGAGGCACTTGCTGACCATTGGTGTCTGTGAACTGAGGGTTGAGATCTTCGAGGGCAGCTTTCAGAGCGGGTCGCGCGAGCGCCATTTTCTTGAATATGGTGCGTCGCAGAGCGTCACTGAAGAATTTCATATCTGATCTTGCGCATTGACCGGCAATCTGCTGCACGATCGTGTAGCACAAACGGGGGATGAACTCCTGATGAACAGAGTCGATCGCATTGGTTGCCTCAGGGGAAGTACTGCGGAGGTCTACCAAAGCAACACAGAATGCAGATGCGGCTCGGAGGGGGAGTGGGTCCGGGCGACTTAATGCGTGAAGTATGAAGTGAAGCAACACGGCGAGAGGAGACTCGGCGTTGGACTCCATAGGAATGAATAAGACTTGGTAGTACTTCGGTAGCAGACGAGCTAGGAAGTCAATTCCGGCGTTGGCAGTCTCTGGATCATACAATTCCGGGGTTTGGAGCATAGAGGAAAACAGCCGGGCAACATGGTCAGTCAGGGCCTCCGCCTGAGCGCGAATTTGCATTGCATGGGAAGCGTGGGAAGCCAAGAACGACGATGCGGTTGCCATGATAATGTCCGTGCCTGAGATACCGAGAGGGAAGCTTTTGATAAAGTCGACAGTCATCGAAGGCGGGAAAACAAAGAGTCCGGCTCGCTCCGTGTAGCCAGCCTTCAGAATATCACAGGCTGCTTCAATTATGCCGTTGTCCACGGGGAATCCAACAATGAGAAGTCGCATGGCTTCCGTGAGCAGACGTTGGGACTCGGCCCCTGGTCCGGAGTTCCAAAACGATGCAGGATAGGGTCCTTCATCCGGCAGATCATCAATACTGATTAGGTCGGTCTCTGAACGAAGGCCCTTTCCAATGCTAGCAATGCAGCTTAAGACCAGATGCCCGCGTAGACGGCCATGTTCATGAGCAGGACCCGTAACTTCTTCCCGGGCTGTGTTAGCCTCCTGAACAAAGAAACCAAGAATCCTTTCTAGCGTTTGGACCTTTTCCTCGTCGGTTGACAGAGTTTGGATGATGGTCGCAATGCCCTCAAGTACCTTGGGCATAGTTGAAGCCGTGGCTGTTGGCATGCTCCTGAATTTGTCTAGTTGATCTAAGAACACAGGCAAGTCTGAGGTCAAGAGGCGGGCACAAGATTTGGAAAGAGTCAAGATAGACCTCGAAGCCGCTTGGGCACACAGCTCGAAGCTGAGAGATTCAAAGAGAATATTGAGAACCCCTGGAAGTAGTGAGCTGTTACGTTCGAAATAAAACTCGTATTTCCCGAAAGAATCAACCAAGGTTTGGCGAGCTTTAACCGGCATCCCAGTCTCCCCGCCAGCGCAAAGCCGGGCAAAGGCATTGCTGCCAAAGATGTCGTCAAGGCACTGGTCAGCGTGACAGTTATCGTCAACTGCTTCCGAGAGCTGGGCTATGCAAAACATAGCAGTTTCAAAGTTGCGCCAATCGCCGCCTTGAAGGTGCGACGTTGCACTTCTCTGGAAGACAGTGACTAACTCAACACCAATAATGGGATATGCCGCGAGGAGGTAATCACAACCTTCGTGGCGGAAAGCGCCAAACTCGCTGCGCTCTTCATCACTCCAGTCTGCCAGATCTTCGGAAGTGGGGTACAAGAGTTTGCTCGGGAGAATCAAGACCACCTCAGCCAGATGCGACTTGATCAAGTCGTATCTGGGATCATCTGGCTTGAGATCATCGAGGACACTCTCGGCAATCTCACTCCAGAATTCCAAAGCACGTGGGGTGCCGAGATCGTCAATGGACGCATAACCCGGAGTTTTGAAGATTCCGTGGACGAGGCGAAGGATGGCTTCGTGGTGTGGGGATAAAGGGACGGTGAAGACATCCAAGTAAAGATGCGAGACATAGGCTATAAGAAGATCGACGAATGCCATGCTTTCAAGACCTTCATCTCCGTTACTTACAGCTGTGATGTGACCAGTCACAATGGAAAAAGCGAGCACCTCAGCAACGAGAGATAATGAGCTAGCGTCAAAGACCCAACGACGACTTTCAAAGGCTTGGGTCAGGATTGAAGCAGCGTTCTCACTCAAGCTAGGTACCCTGAGTGTCTCGATGATAGTCTTCCCGCAGCTTATAGCCAGTTGATCGACATCCTCAGGGACAGAGCGTGAGCGGATTCCATGAAAACTCAGCCACGTCTATGATTGATCATCAGCAATTGATTTAAAGGATCTGCATTTATTGCTTACCTTCCAGCTGCTCATTGCTTCTGCAGCTAATGCCGCGTCGATTGCATCATCTCCAAATTTTTGTGAATGCTGCATGATGCCGTTCAGCACAAATTGGACCAAATATAATCCGGCTTTCATGCTCTGCAAGGCTTGGTGGAGAGGGTATTGGTCTTTAGCTCTATGTGTAGCCTCCGATTCCGCTCGAACTGCTTCCTCGGCGAGTGCAATGGAGAAAAACAGGAGTGCCCCTGACGCGTTCGCGTTCAATGCTGGCAAAATCCGTTCTTGAAAATCCACACCTAAGGCTAGTTCTTCTGAAACGTATTCGCCGTTCACTAGACTTGCGGCCAGCTGCCACACAGCCTGTTTACGGGGGGTTGACGGATTCTTGATGATAGCAACCAGGCTAGAAGCCAGTTTTCGCACAACCAATGCCTGTTCGCCCTTGTTGACAATGTGTACAAATCGATTGATCAGGTGTTGCAAGATTTCCGCCGCGGCATTTTCGTCGATTTCATTCCTATGTCAAGTTAGTAATTATTTCAGCAGACTCATGTAGAATAGAAGGATGTGCTTTTCGGGGATGAGCCCTACCATGAGACATTGATCTTCACTGTGAAGGTGAGGGCTCCCATAAAACGATGCTGGGATGAGTGCTCGTTTTGCAAAAGGGAATCTGCAATCGACCATGCATGCTCTGTCTTTTGCAGTTGCTGAAGGCGAGCTTGGATCTCATTGATCCTAGCGGGGTCTCGTTGGTTTGCTGGATTGTAAAGCTCGGTCACTAGCTGGTTATTGATCAGTCAGAACATTCCGTGAATGAGCCATAGGGAGGATACCATATGAGCTTCTGAGATTGCATCCCTGGCACCGAGGCCCTTGTTGGAAATCCAGGCCATCATGTCTCGCGTTGTTGAGAGAAGGAGAAAGAGAGAGCATACTACCGACGGTCGTATAGAACACACGGGGCTAGGACGGGCAAAACCAAATGTTTGCAATCAAGAGCCAATGAGCGATAGGGCGGTATATTTGGCGGTGAGTGCGGGGTCACAACATCTACAGGCTCGTCTGGCGGTTTCTTGCACTTCCCAGGCATGGACCTTATGATACCATCTTTTATGCTGGAAGAAGATATTCCATAATTTATTTAGATCATACAAAACACAAATAAGTGAATTATCGGAGTGCTTTGAACACCACCACTGTTTGTTTGTGCAACTTTAGGTGGGCATCTTATGGACGAAGATTGCCCAATGGACTCCTGGAGATACTATTCTAGGACCTAAGTAATACTCAAGAATAACTGGATGCTAACTACCTAGAGAGGTATATAGGTCGCCCCCACAAAGCCAAAAAGCATTGTATGGGGTATTTGAGTGCAGGCCTATAGCCTCTTTTTGCCTCTATTTAATTACCCCGAAGCTGGGATCGAACCGGCGGCCTGCTCAAGGCCGTGCGTAGCCGAATCATCACACCGCCGTAGACACCGCCTTTAAGGCCCGCGGAATGAACGCGTTATCGGGCACTTATCTCATGCCACACTCACCGAGTAGGATCTTGCTGAACCTCGATGCTCTTCACTCGATCTCTCCGTCTTTCGTGCACAGCTTTACGACCGATAAGGCCTCGCCCAAGATTCTTTTCAGCTCTCGGTCCGCGCTACTCTATCGAGATGGGTACCGTAGATACCACTGAACGCTTGTCCAAGCTGCGGCAGTTGATGCAGCAGCACAAGGTGGATGTGTACAGTATGACATCCTCTGAATTTTTTTTTAATCTCCCATAATTGGGTGCTGACCAGCTGAATCTAGTTGTTCCTTCGGAAGACAGCCACCAGTCCGAGTACATTGCACCATGTGATGCCCGACGAGGTTCGCAGCCGTCCCCCCTCCTTGAGTCCACCCGTAATTACCGCTAACAACCTGCATAGAATTCATTTCTGGATTCTCTGGATCTGCGGGCACTGCGATCATTTCCCTGAGCAAAGCTGCTCTCTCAACCGACGGGCGATACTTCAACCAAGCCGCGAAGCAATTGGATAACAACTGGCAGCTTCTGAAGCGTGGGGTGGAAGGCGTGCCCACATGGCAAGAATGGTAGGCCCTTACTTCGGTGTTGGGCAATTGGTACTGAAGATTGACCTTTTTAAACAGGTCTCTTGAGGAGGCCCAGGGAGGCAAGGCTGTTGGCGTTGACCCCTCTCTCATTACGGCGTGTAAGTATTGAGGTCTTGATACGCGAACATTGGTCCTAATTATCAATAGCTGGCGCACGCAAGCTTGCAGAGACTCTCGAGAAGAATGGCTCAACGCTCGTTGGAGTTCAAGAAAACCTGGTCGATCTGGTATGGGGCAAGGACCGCCCTGCACGCCCCAGTGAGAAAGTGCGCGTTCACCCTGCGAAGTATGCCGGTAAAACCTTCCAGGAGAAGGTGTCTGAGCTGCGCAAGGACCTCGAGTCCAGGAAGAAGGCCGGGTTTATCATTTGTATGTCTGTTCCAATCCTACACATTTGCAAAGTGACTAACGGACATTAGCCATGCTTGATGAAATCGCTTGGTTGTTTAACTTGAGAGGAACTGAGTAAGGATAGCCGGGAAATTTGCTGGTTTGATTTGCTGGCAACTAACTGACTTTGACTAGCATCCCGTACAATCCTGTGTTTTTCTCATACGTCTTGATCACACCCACCACAGCTGAGATCTATGTTGAGGAAGACAAATTGACCCCAGAAGTCAAGGCCCACCTCGGACAAGATGTTATCATTAAGCCATACGACTCCATCTTTGCTGATGCCCAGGCTCTCGCTGTCCGAGGCCAAGCCGCTGGCGAGAATGCTGAAAAGTTTTTGCTGTCTAACAAAGCTTCTTGGGCTCTGAGCATCAGTCTCGGTGGTGAAGCTCAAGTTGAAGAGACTCGCAGTCCCATCTCAGATGCAAAGGCTGTCAAGAACGAGGCCGAGCTGCAGGGCATGCGGGCTTGCCATATCCGTGATGGCGCTGCCTTGACTGAATACTTTGCTTGGTTAGAAAACGAACTTGTTAACAAGAAGACTGTCCTGGATGAAGTTGATGGTGCTGACAAGCTTGAGCAAATTCGCTCCAAGCATGAGCTTTTCGCCGGTCTTTCTTTTGATACCATCTCTTCGACGGGGCCAAACGGTGCTGTCATTCACTACAAGCCCGAGAAGGGAAGCTGTTCCATCATTGACCCCAATGCTATCTATCTCTGCGACTCAGGTTGTCAATATTATGATGGAACCACTGATACTACCCGAACTTTCCATTTCGGCACACCCACCGAATTTGAGAAGCGCACTTTCACTCTGGTTCTGAAGGGCACCATTGCAATTGACATGGCGGTTTTCCCCAAGGGAACTAGTGGTTTCGCCATCGACATCCTGGCCCGCCAGCACTTGTGGAAAGAGGGTCTGGACTTCCTCCACGGAACAGGCCACGGTGTTGGATCCTACCTGGTAAGAGTACTCCATATACGCGCGATAAAAGTTGTTAACTGTTTGTCAGAACGTGCACGAAGGTCCCATCGGCATTGGCACTCGGGTTCAATACACCGAAGTCCCCATTGCGGCTGGAAATGTTATCTCCGATGGTTCGCATACCTTCTTTCATTTGAATATTAAATCACAACTAACGTATCGTATAGAACCTGGATATTATGAGGATGGCAAGTTCGGAATTCGGATCGAGAGTAAGCCTTCTCCTCGGAAATTGACTTCATACAATACTGATTTCTTATTCGCAGACGTTGTTATGTGCCGCGAGGTGCAGACCCCCCATAACTTTGGTGACAAGCAGTGGTTAGGCTTTGAGCATGTTACAATGACCCCCATTGGTCGCAACTTGATTGAACCATCGCTCTTGAGTGATGCCGAGCTCAAGTGGGTAAACGACTATCACGCCGAGATCTGGTCGAAGACAGAGCACTTCTTCCAGGCCGATGATCTGACTCGCTCATGGCTTGAACGTGAGACTCAGCCCATCTCCAAATAAATCAGGTGCGGTATGCGGGTGATCCAAGTGGATCAGTGCGATATGCATCATCTGAATGGGGCTGGTGCAATTCTGCATCGAGGCCCTGTCGGATCATGACTCCTGCATGATATTTTCGGTCAAATTAATCAAACCCCCAAATAAATGTAACAACAAATTCAAATGTTAATTTGTCTAGTTCCGAGTGATGTGTAGTAGTGGACAACTGGTCAGCGGAATGCGGGAGCTGTAGTGGAGCCTGATTGTCCGCCCCGGGCTGTTCCAACACCATACACGCAACCATCGCATTGCCTCCAGTGCTTTGAGCTGCTCAGTGAAGAATGCTAACTGCCTTTGACTCGTTTTCGAGCGCAGGCCACAGTATCTGAACCCGAAAGTGGTCAACCACGGCTCGACGCCCCTTGTCCCAGCCCACCAGCGCGCACACGGATTCGAAACACCTACGAGCAACGGACATCCTTCGAAATGAGTGGCCAAAATGGATACGGAAATGGTTATGGATACTCCGGCCCAAACCGATACGATACGAACGACGGAGCTTACAGCGGCAGCAACAGCAATAGCAGCCTCGGGGTGAGCGGCTACAGTGGACGCAGTGCGGGAGCATCAAGCGCGGGAGGTCGATCAGATCGCCGCCCTGGCGGATATGGCGGTTTCTATGAGGAAACGCCGCAGCAATCTACTTTGTCGCCAGGCCAGTCTTCAGCGCCGAGCCAATCCCAGTCTCCGGAGCGCCGTCGCGATCGCTCAGACCGCGATTGGCAGCAGCCTTCATCGCAGTCCAAGTCACGGTCTCGGTCGAGAAACCAAGAGCCTGGAAGGAAACGACAGGAAGATAGGACTGGAGATGCGATGCGATATGCGCAAAAGAGAGACCAGGAGAGGAAGGCGCCTCCGGTGGTGAAGAGAAGCAATACAGCTGGGGAGGCCCAGGCCATTGAAAGTGCGTATTTGACCCTGGTGCTTTGCTTCAATGGCTAATGACAGTGCTCTATGTAGCAATTTTGCAATCAATTCAACAAGATTGGGATTTTATGACCGATGCCGAGTGCGTGCCCGTACACGTTGCCTTGAGTCTGATGGACACTAGCACACTAGGGAAGGCGGACCGCGAAGATGACTTCATTCGCATGTACAATGACATTCAAAAGACACTGAAGGCCATTGTGAACGGTGCGTACTCTCTACTACAACCAGAAAAGCTCGGTACTGATACTTTGTGCTGCAGAGCATCATCAGGGTTTCAACAGTTCTATCGGAATTTACCACAAGATTCAGTCCAACATATCGTCATCGCAAAGTCGAGTGCGCAGCTTGAGGAACGCGTTGGACCAAGCCAAATCCGGATTAATATCGACCAAGCCTGAATTGAAGGGACTAGCAACGTCTTCTCAAAACTACGATGATATTGTTCAGCTGTTTGCCCAAATTGAAGAGATTCAATCTCTCCCCGAAAAGCTCGAATCACAAATTTCAGACAAGCGCTTCCTAGCAGCAGTGGATGTACTTCATACTGGTCTTCGAGTCCTGCGGCGCTCGGAGCTGGAGGAAATTGGTGCTTTGTCCGACATCCGCGCATACTTCATCAACCAGGAAACATCACTGACAGACATTCTGATTGAGGAGCTGCACGATCACCTTTACCTAAAATCACCCTATTGCTCAGATAGGTGGAAGGCCCCAACCACTGACGGCGAGTCCACTACTTCTAGTTGGGCTGGCAATCGGTCGTGGGAACGGCCAGTCTACGGTTTCCTGGCCAAATTTGATCCATTGACTCCAATGGTCGAGGATGCCTCCCGGAACCCAGAGGCCGATACGTTCTCCTACATCCAACTTCTGATCGAGGCTCTCAACAAGATGGGGCATCTTGATGTTGCGGTGCATCGAATTGAACAGCGCCTGCCAGTTGAACTGTTTGCTGTGGTGGACAAGACGAACGCAGAGGTCGATACGCGCTATCCGGCACCTAACAAGAGCTTTTCGGCCCAGGACAACTACTACAAGCAGTCTAGTCTTCCCACTGAGATCATTGAGAAGCGAGGCCATGTGCTTTCTGAATTCTTGTGGGCACTATATGCCAAGTTTGAAGCAATTGCGGAAGGCCACCGAGTTCTTCACGATGTCGTGGCTGCCATTGTTGAGAGAGAAGGCCTCAAAAGCGAAACGCTCTCTGGTGGGTTCAAGGAGCTGTGGTCGCTTCTACAGAGCGAGGTAAGGGGTTGAAAGCTTGACCTGGATCAAATAACCTTGTTCACTGACTCATCTTTGCAGATCCGATCCCTCATGCATGATTACCTTGCCACCGATGGTGATTCATCCGCTAGACAAGAAGAAGCCGACTCGCGTCGTCATGTCTACTCCAGTGCCCGTGATAAGAACAAGGTACCTGCAAACGCTCGTTTGGTATACAACATGGATCATTGATCGCTAACAACTTATCTAGAAATTGTTTAAATTATCCGATATTGAGCACAGCTTGGAGATGAAAGCGGAGCAAGACGAACTGGATGAGATTCTCAAATCATCGGTGCCAGGTCTTGTTTCCAAGTCAAGGTCAAAGACTGCAACAAATGACACCGCACAGTCCAACAAGGGCAACTCAGGAACCGGGCACAAGATCTTACTTGAGCCAAGCGTTTTCAACATGAGTATTCTTCTTCCCCCTTCCTTATCCTTTATCCAACGTCTCAAAGATATCGTCCCGGTCGATTCAAATATTTCCATGGGCACATTGACGTCCTTTTTGGATGACTTTATGGTCAACGTCTTCTTGCCGCAACTGGACGAGACTGTGACAGATCTGTGTACACTGAGCTTCATTGCGGCCGATGCGTTCATGGAGGATCCTCAATGGTCCAAGGTCTCTCCTCGGCCTATATTCAAGGGTACAGTCAAGTTCATGTCAATTGTCAGGGAATTTAGCAAGATGCTCTCGAGCATCCCCCATGATCAAGCATTCACTCAGCTTCTGATTGATCAGATCGTGACCTACTATGACAAGTGCTGTGGATGGTACAAAGCAATGGTCACAAAAGTATCCGCCCACAACTCCAATGGCGAAGTCCAATTGAAAGCTGCGGCCTCATTCGCTGCACAGGGTGACATTCATGATACAGTCGATGAACTTTGGAAGGGAGCTGGTGACAAGAAGCAGACCTTGATCGATACTGAAATCGATCTTCTTTTGAAGCGAACCAACGAGAAGTCTTTGGAACCATACGACATCATATCCGACCCCAAGACAGTGGTGTCACTCTCGCTCTTGTATAACAGTATGCAGTGGCTTGGAAGTCACCTCGCAAGGATTCGCCAAGTGGTTGAGCACACCGCCGATGCCGAGTCATCAAGTCTGACTGCGACTGGTCGGCCCTCTCGCCGATGGACTTTGTTCGGGTCCACGAAGCCAAAACGCGATAGCATCAACAACCCGGTCCATTTGCCCCTCAACCACGAGACTGCCGTGGCCTTTGATGGGACTCTTCAGTCACTACATGGGCTGGGCTCTACCGCACTGCTCACCATGCACGTTGATATCCGCTGTGGTATCATACACATGTTGACTAGAACTATGTCGGGGCCCAATCCACCTACTCTACGGAACTCCGAGCCAGTCACCCCCTCCCCCAGCTTAGTGGAAAACTGGTGGCACATTATCATGAACCAACCGACTGCCGCTTCGCCCACCATTCTCGCGCTAAATAATGATCTCATCGCATTCGACACCAATATTTCAACCTACTTGGGCTCTGCGGAACGTTGGTTCATCACCTCCGGCCTGGCCCGGTTCATTGATCGCGTCTTCGTAGCAAGCACCCGATACATTGGAGCAATGAATGAGAATGGAGCCTTGCGTCTCCAGCTCGATGTGCTTGTTCTTCAGCAAAACTTGAAGAACATCATCATTGACCCCACTAGTGAGTCGTCGACCGCAGCAACAGACTTGCATGCGCAGGCATCTCAAGAGGTTGTGGCCCTTCCACGGAGTGCCAAATTCCTCGATTGGTTCCTTGAGGGGGCCGAAAAGTCCCTGGACTATTCCAAAGACGAAAAAGAGGCGTTCGCATCACAAGGTGCCAAGGCCTTGGCTGCTGGCAATGGTGAACCGTTCACCTACGATGAACTGCGGGTTCTGGTCGACCTTTGTTTCTCCGAGATCTTGCGCGGCCCGCGTGGAGCAGAGAGTCGAGAGGACTTTATGTCGGCGAAGAAGGCCAGCGCAGATGCGCTACTCAGGCTGAATGAGATCATGTGGGATGCCCGGTAGATATACTAGTAGAATAGCCCAACTAGCCTTCACGAGTTGGAACTGATCAAGTTTGGACCCCTTAGACCTGTAAGCCCCAGCTGAGAAGTAATCATAGAGGATTCCACCTTGACTCAAAGTCATTTCCCTCATTAATATAAACAATCTCCACTAGCCCTAACACAGTCTAGCACAATGGGCCCCCATCCCCTTTCGGTTACTACCGACTCTCTACACTGGCCTATTCGATCCACGCTGCGTTTCATATCGTCAGATTGTTGGTTCTCGCAAATGAATTTTCTTGATCCCAGTCACTATGCATGCACCGTTAGATTAACGGCGTCTAGACTCATCCTCTCAGAACTATAACCCCCCTCCGTCTTCCCTCATTTCTTCCTTCTTATTCTTCACACCTGTCTGGAACAGTTAGCGTTTCGAATCTGAAATCCGTGATTCAGTCCTTTCTTTTCTGTGCAATTGCACGTCCGATCATTACAAGTAAATTCTTCACCTTCATTTGATACCTATATCGCTCTGCGAATACCTTCATTTTCAATCTTCAAATATGAAGTACCTCAGCGTGGCCTCCGTGGCCGCCCTTCTTAGCGCAACTGTCTCCGCCAGCCCATTGGCCCCCAGGGACTCGTGCCCAAAGGGATACACCCAGAGTGTATACTACAAAACCATTTACCTTGAGCCTTCTACGTCGGCCATCCCCGAGTCGACAGCGACCCCATCTCCCTCGCCCATCACGGTGGAGTCCCAATCCTCTGCGGTGCCGACAGTGATCCCTTCTTCCACCGCTGTCATTACATCGCAGGCTCCCGTGGTTGAGCAAGTCGAGTCTTCGACATCCTCTGCTGTTGTATCTACCTCTACCTCTGAGGCTGCTCCAGCCATCGCTCTCCTCCCCACTGCGTCTGTTGAGAGTGCTGCTACTGTTGAAACCACTCCTGTCATCCAGCCGATTGAGCAGACCACCCAGGCTGCTGTCCAAACCACCACTTCCTCTGCTGTTGAGGTTGTTGAGCCAACCACTCAGGCTGCTACCGAAACCACCCCTGCCCCTATTGTCAAGGCCGTTGAGCCAACCACCCAAGCCGTCACTGAGACCACCGCTGCTCCTGTCGTGAAGGCTGCCGTCCAAAGCACCAGCACTACTTCCTCCACTACCTCCTCTTCCACTTCATCAACCTCCAGCTCCAGCGAGAACGCTGGCAAAGCCACCTTCTACGGTGGCAATGTATCCGGCGGAACCTGCTCGTTCAGCGGCTACAGCCTCCCAAGCAGCCTCTTCGGCACAGCCCTCTCTCTCGCCCGCTGGGATGACGCAGCCAACTGTGGCCGCTGTGTCTCCGTCACCGGACCCGAGGGCAACACCGTCAAGGCAATGGTAAACAATCCCACCCATTAATTTCCAAACCCCGCTAACAAGTCCCAGATCGTCGACCAATGCCCCGAATGCGAGAGCAACCACCTCGATCTCTTCCAGAATGCCTTCGCCGAGCTCTCCGACATCTCTGCCGGTATCATCGGCATCAACTGGTCCTTTGTCTCGTGTGACCTGGACGGTCCTCTCAAGCTCAAGAACAAGGAGGGTACATCTGCCTACTGGTTCTCCATGCAGGTTGTTAATGCCAATGATGCCGTGACTGCGTTGGATGTCAGTACCGATGGTGGTAGCTCGTGGCAGAGCACTGAGCGTACCTCGTACAACTTCTTCGAGAACTCTTCTGGTTTCGGTACGGATTCTGTCACCGTGCGTGTTACTGGAGCTAGTGGTAAGACAGTTGTTGTTAAGGACGTGGGTGTCTCCTCTGGTGCTGAGGTTACTGCTTCGTCTAACTTGTAAATGGGATGATATTCCCGGTTTATATTCTTCTGTTGATATTTTTGTTGGAGGTTTGAAAGTGGGGAGTGAGTTTCAAGGTCGTTATAAGTCTTATAGTATAAATCTTACCATGGTATTTACTAATGACGGCAAATAAATGAAATAAACGCAAAAAAAAAAAAAAAATAGCCCTTGGAGTATAGAATCCATGGATTATATCTACTAAGTAGCGAAATGTAGTGACACAATATCAAAAGAAGTGAAGCTAACGAAAAATAAACAGAAATTGGAGATACTCCGAGCTTGTTTTGTATTCCAGGAAACGCCATTTACTGACTTTTGACATCAAGGTACTCAGGCCCCATACCTAGGCTAGGCACCTTTGGGCTTCCAGGGCTACTTTTGCTATGAGAAATACCAATGTTGTTATTTCTTCGCTTTTGGAATGAGATTGATTCACAAAACTCCATGAGATTCGATACCCGGGCATCTTTCTACACATTTTGAACAATGGATGGCATGCATCAAATTTCCTTGTCTTATGTCAGTCTACAACCTTGGAATGTAACAAAATCCATAACATGTAAATCGTAATTATCCGGGCTCTATATAGATCGATACAAGTAGTCCAAGCTCAAGGGTATCCTGGCTAGTATCAGAGATCGACTTCAGGAGTTGAATGCAAGCCGCCCTTTCTACCATGAAGGCTTATTACTGGGTTGTGACCTCCTTGTCCAGTTCGACAGTACCAACGTGCTCGTGCGATTCGAGGCTAACGAGGGTGTCCTCTGGGTAAGAGACACTTCAGTCGCATTAGCCGTGGAACGGGAGGACCCATAGATCGTAACTCACGAGAAACCCTTGATCAGGGTGTATTCATGCTTGATCTCACCACCTTGGTCTTTGGCGTGTTGCTTGACACTGAAATCAAATCCATGGATTAGCCGAGGCTCTCGAGTCACTGACAGTGTTATACGCACCTCTCCACCTGCTCGGGGGTGGCGTTCTCCTTAGCGGTAACCTGGCCTAGTTAGCAATATGAAGCGAACGTGTCACCGTAACATACAATATAAGTAGGCATGGTGTGATGAATAAGTGAAGATGGGAAGTTCAAGATGTTCGGAAGAGAGATAGATAAGTGTCGAGAGCGGTGTTTACATCATATAGAGGGGTAGGGTAATCTAAGCCCCGATCACGCATCTCTCAGGTTTCAAGGTCCTGTCCAATCACACTCGATGTTCCTCGGATCTACAGTTGCCGTCATGTCTGACATACTACATTTGAGATCACACGATATAATGGAAATTCATATTATCCCACTGCTCCGTTCCAAGGCAAAGACCATCCCAGCCGTAAATTCGCCAGCCCATCCATTAAAGATGAAAACGATAAAAGAAACCGCATGTAGCGTACAGAAAAAAGACGCAAATCTGCACCAGCGAGTAAAAATAAAATGGAAGAATAACAAAATTGCGCAGAAAAACGAAAAAAAGTTGCGCAAAGAGAGCCATGAAACCCATGTCATGGGAGGCAAAGGATATCCTCAACGCAGATAATGATAGGCCCATGACAGGGTGACGTGGAAGAGGAGAGTTCCATAAAAAGGGGACGAACGGGCCAGGAAAAGAAAGAAATAACATGAAAACAGAAATGAGGGTATGTTCAAGTCTTGACCTCCAGAACGCAATGGTCGTAGCACATGCAGAAGAGTACCCTATTCAATCTCCAGTGTCTCTAACTGTTTTGACTCTTCATAGTCATCAAACTCCAGGCCCGCTTCCCGGCAACGGGTCAGCCACTTCAGAGCAATCCCGTTGCGTCGGCCAATCTCGCCCTTGAGCTTTTGACAGGAACCGCCAAGCTCGCTGATGGCGTGGTTGGTGGTGAGACTGTGCTTCTCGAACTGCTCCTCGACGTTCTTCTTCTCTTCCTGGAGTTGAAGAATATATTCGATAGCGCGTTGGAGTATCGCACCCTTGTTCTTATCGCAGTTTGGCACAAGACGAGCGATCTGGTTGATACCCTCGTTGATGGCTTCACGGCGTCGGCGCTCAACTATTAAAACAGGGTTAATGAGTGGACAAATACTGGACCTCGGAGAACTCCTTACCTTCTTTGTGATTGTTCTTGCGGATCTGGTGCCACTCTGGGGACCCAACGGTAGGCTTCTGGTTCATGCTCTGGGCCTCACGCGCAGCGTACACCGCAGCAGCGGTGGAGTTATGGTTGTGGCCGCCACCCATGGGAGTCTGGTTCATCTCATCACCAAACGACAGTCCTTGGGTAAGGTTGCTGGCATCGAAGCCAGCATCGGGAGGAGGTGGGTATTTATGTTGAGGGGTGTGAGCGGCCAGAGCGGCTTTGGCATTGGCGGTTAGAGCATTATCGTCAGACAGGCCATTCTGGGGGCCGACGTGTTGCAGGATTTGTTGATCAATGTTCAGTTCGGCACCAGTGTTGGGAAGTCCGTGATCATAGTTACTTAGGCTATGGCCAAAGTTGTGCTGGTTGTCTCCCATGCTGCCGTTGCTACCGTGGGAAGAGCGGTTGAGACGCTGGGGATCAGGCCCTAGATCTTCTGAGGAAGTCCTCTTCCGCTTGTGCGAACCATCATCAGGGCTATTCATTGTGGGATTAGACATGCGCCGAAGGCAATTGTCCTACTTGTGGCAATGGTTAGTCAGGGAGGGTGTTGAACGGCGGGCGAATGAAACAGGTCTCGGGGAATAAGTGTGCGGAGTGAGAGGGGAACATCAGAATATCAGAGCAGTCCAAGGGGAGTTTGGTCCCTGACAGATCAAGCCGTTCTCGGGCAGATCAGTGGACACCCCGCGAAGTAAACAGACGCGTAAAAGTGACGCGCTCGCGAGACATATCGGTAAGACCGGTCGCATAGGATCCGGCCATCGACGACGATATTCATCAACGATGCCATGGGGGGTATGATCTACAGGGCAAGCTGTCTGCGATAGCAGATAGCGCGATGTCTCATCGCATCCGCGGAGGTGAGCGCCATCATTCACGCGTCATGATGGGCTGCAGCGGTCACACAGGGGCATCGTTGCGAAGGTCACCACTCGCGATGAGCATCTCGGCGCGACGTGCAAGGGCATGGGGGAGAAGATATAGATAGATGGAGATGGGTTTGGATGGAGCCGTACCTTGGGATGATCTCTCTATCACCTGACGAGAAGTCACCTGCCTGCCGACAACAAGACGCAGGTCACGTTGTCTGCGAAACCCGAATCTTGAAATTAATAACACGCAAATGGAAAAGTTTGTAAAAATTGATCGGGCGTGGAGCAAGGAGAGTAAATGAGTCGAAAATCAACCGCACGGCAAATTTACCCAAACGTGTATCTTTGGAAGATGTAGAGTCGCGAGTAAGTCGAGATGGACTGCTCACGTGGCGACGAGAAGAGGAGTTGCGGGTCCGGTCGCCCACAGTGACCATATGCGCAGGTCACCTGACACGTCTTAGGTCAGCACGTCTAGATCTAGAACTTTTTTTCAAAAACAGAAGCAGAAAACCATCTGAAGATAACCCAAGTGAAATGCCTCGTGAAATGGCCCTGAGCGATGATCCTCTCCATCTCTTCTTGCGAGTCATGTGCAGCCATCCCGTGCCCCTCCGCTGCACCCCCCGATTTCCGGCCTCTGATTGGCTGTTGTCCTCCGCGGAGGGGTGATCCTGGATCACGTGTTAGACCATTGAATCGACCAATCACAGGTATTTCTCACCCACTACAGAGGAGGGGGGATCGGACCATCGGGAATTGCAACGAGCTTCACTAAATTCCCTGAGCATGCAGAATGTGCTCTTAGTGGACACCACTGCCCAAGTTTCGGTTGATCCGGACAACCCCCGTCCTAGTCTCCTGCAAGTAATCGAGCTAGCCGCACTAGTGTCTCAATGGGAGGTACGGAGTACGGATCACCCTGGATATGGGAGTACAACCTCCATCCCGGCGCAGCGGGAGGGAGGAACAAAGTCGTGCATCACTACATGATATATGGTGCACGGGGAAGGTTGTGCAAGTCCGAAGTCTGATCGAACGGGCGTATTTTACACCAGCTTGGTTTCTGTCTACCTTCGATTCTCCCAAGGCGGGGGAAAGACACAATCACATGTTTCACACTACTCGACTGAGATTAACATTTCCCAGTGTCTCTTCTATTACTGAGGTTGCATCGGGGCATCTGGTCTGTCTGAGTGCTATGCATGGATGAGAAGGGGATCATGAGACCCTCGACTACTCGATGTCAACATGAGGGTATAGTATGAGCTTTTTGCCTGAAGAGTGTGTCGATCTGGAGGATCTTCGTCTATATGTCATCAGAGACGAGCTCACTATCACATGGATCCTCTGCACATGATCCATTTGTGGCGACCAGTGGGGTTCGACCTGGACAGACTTCCAGAGAGGATCGCCATAATATCGGACGATATACACTTATCCACCCTACATTCCTAATCTCACCGCTCCCCATGTTCATGTTTGATCGAACCTGTGACCACATTTGGATATCCCGTATCTTGCAGTTTACATATGAAAGTTACCCGGTGTTCAATTCCAGATACCTACCAAAAGGCGGTCCGAAGGGACCTCTCAGATGGTGATCAATTCTGACTCTGCTCGATAGGACCTATCTCAAGTTTCGGCGTCCCCTAGCTTGAAAGCAGAACGTAGATTGTGAGACAGATGATCCAGATGCTCAAACCTTGGAAGTTAGACAATGTTCTAAAATTGCACCTTTGACCGACCGATGCACAAAGAATCCGACACCCTCTCAAGTAAATGCCACATGATTCCATCAAGAGGCAGCAAGCTTTGAAACCTAAAGACTTCAGGAATGCCTAGATATGTTACACGTTCGAGAACATTACTACGTACTTTATGGGGAAATCCTCTCATGCACGTCACGTTCGCTCGCATGCAGAATACCTGGGCAATTCCCGCCGGGCCTTGGTGAAGCAACGGTAAAGACAAGGCGACACGAGTCAAAACTTTAAGAAGCTGGTAAGCTATGCCGGGCATTTGAACGGTTCATTGCTCAAGTAGTTGTCTAATTGGGCCGTGTAGCCTGCAGTGCAGGCAACCGTTCGTTGACGCCTCTCTCGTCGGCGGCGACATGCACTCATCGGTATTTTATGGCGGCTAGGCAGCTCGGTAGTTTTTGCCAATCATCCTTCACCTGGGTAAGTCCTGACGCCATTGGACTTTTGTAACATTTAAAGTGGCTTGTGTCATTTTATGCTGATTTCCAAGTTGAACTGACGGTCTTCTCACCTTGGAAGCTTGTCAGGGGACAAGATATGTACATTGGTCCAGCCTGCCCAGGTGACTTCAGGATGAACAAACACCTGGGCAGTATATGGAAGTCTTCCAGGTTATCGGGAGATACACCAAAGCAAACAAAATAGTCGAGCATTAGTTAAATAATATCCGAAGTTGGTATCCCAATAACCTCGCTGTATTCGTCACATCTCTCGAGTGCCGCAACGCTTTACTTCCCCCAGAAACCACGAGTGTGCTATTTCAGCATAGCTCACACGAGAATACCATAATACTATCCATTTCAACAACTTTTCAACAGAAAGATGCCAAACGGTAGAGTGACACAAGTTGAAACACATCGCACGTTAACTTGTAGCCTAAGGGGTTCGCATCTGCTCCGTAGGCTTGTACTTCTTGCACACATCGGTTCTTTACTCCCAGTATGTAACTCCGGACTGTCCTCCTGGTCGGGCTAAAGTGACAGCTAGGTGCTTTTTATTTTATTGCCTAGGCCTGTCCAGAGGTACCGCCATCATATTAGCAGCCTCTTCTTTATGTTCATTCGTTTGCGCCAATAAAACCCTCTACTTAAGTAGGTCTGAGTTCATCTCACATGAGATACGGTAGATATAACCCGGGTTTTCCATGACTATATCTTGTTCGATTTGTGATGCTTACGAGTAGTCTCCTATCCTTAGTCGATACTCGGAGGCCCATGCACATGGGTCATCCCTGTTCACCCGGACAAACCCCTCAAGGCTGATTTTGAGATATCGGCTATTCCTTTCAGCTCTTGAGCTTTGATCCCAGTTTGGGAATAGAATGAAAAATCATTCTCATAATGGATGCTTGGCCCCCATGTACTCCATCCAGTCGAAAATGCCCAAATATGATATGAGCGCAAACTTGATACACCTGCCTCCCAAGGTTTCTTAAGAGGCCGTTGCGTCTGGTGATTCATCGGCTGGGTTCAAATGTTGGTACTTCTAAAGTTGATACACTAATTCTACCCCGAGGGCTCAGTCCTTGAAAGGACTTTAACGTGCGATGCCCAAATCTTATTTGAAATTTGGTATTATGTACAGTAAACCTTGAAAGAAGAGCTCCATTGTTCAGATGATCTGATCTCTAGGTACTCCGATCTCACACAAGCCCTCGGATTTCCAAGTTTCCCATCCACTCAACTCGCATCATGCAAGCGCCTATAGCTCGCACATTATTTGACCGTTTGAAGGATCTTCGATGGACCCAATGGGACAATTCCCCGGTCAGCAAACGCCTGCGTGATGACCTCAGGTTTCAAAGTCTCCTCACGGGACTTCGGGTAACTCCGCACGAAGATTGTCTTCTCGGCATCGGGAGTCATGTTCCTGTCGTGGGAAAATTCCCGAACTTTGCGCGTCCACCATTCCTTGTACGACTCGAATGCCTTGCCGTCAAAAGGTTGCATGAGGTGGCCCATCTTCGAGGGAAAGCAGAACAGAATGATCGAGGGTTCATCGCAAAATTTGATGAATTTGAGGGTCAGGAAGTGAGGTTCGCCTCTGAAGAGGAGGAGACGAGATTGGCCTTCTTCGACACGGTCTTTGGTTTGTTCGTGAAAGGCTTGGAGCCAATTAAGTGCGGCATTGGGAGTGACTCGGCCGGTTGGCGTCAGGTTCAAAACGGCTTCGTCAGAATAGCCAGGTTGTTCAAACCACTCTTCAAGGTGATGTGAGCCCTGAATTACGAGGTACGGGTCTGCTTTCCATCCGTCCGCGGCGACACATTCCACAGCGGTGACCCATTCACAATAACGTCTGGGGAGTTCGTTATAGTCAATCGGTTCTGGTGGTCCGATAGAGAACATCCAAACGGTTTTCTGGCCCTCTCCAATTGCGAATGTGGTCTCGTCGAAATTATAGATGTTGGCAGGCGCAATACCTGCCGTCGTAGTCTCCAAACTCTGAAACCAAGCAACTAAGGTTGGCATGTCGGACATTTGAAGGCGTTGTTTTTTGCTCGCGCGCGCTTTAGATGGTGCTAAGGTCGTCGGGAGACGCCTGATGAATTTGTCAATCCAGGCTTTGCTGATGGAGGCCTCAGATCCGCTGGTGTTGAGGATCTGATTCGCGCTTGTCGTGATTTGAGTGATATTAGGGATGGCGGACAGCCCCTTCACGCGACGGACCCATTTGATCAGCTCTTTCTCTTGTTTATCATCGAGTGGCGCGGTGGCAGTTCCCCTGGCGCGTGTTGGCGGGCTCACGTTCACCGATTGCCCACTTTCCATCGCCTTTTCCAGCTCTTTGACGTGTGGTCTTTTGCATGATTGGGAGCGGGCATTCTTAGCGATGCCTACCTCTGTTGACATTCGTTTAGGCATGGTGTGAATTCGCGAAGCAACTGTCGGGTCGCGCGTCTTAAGTAGTCTGGTATGACGTAATGGCGATCTGCAGGGAATTGTTGATCTGTTTTTCCAAGGTTGCGACACTCAATTGTCGTTGCGAACGGGTTAGGAGAAAAGGTGGATTGGAAACTACAGAGCGCGAAACAACGCGAAATAACGCGACAAGCGATAACTGATGTGTCCACTTTTTCACCCGAGAGGCGCAACTCTAGCTCTTCCTCGACCACAATTCGATACATCACTTGATTTCCAGAGGTATGAGATTAGTCTCTTTGGTTCAAAGACAACCTGATTCTTGTCTGAGCTACCCCTCAAGTTTATGATTAGTCTATTGCTGGACAGCAGCCATATCAGGAAAAAGAATAAGAAGAAAGTATTCGCTATTTCGAGTAACAAGATACAAGAACTCCACAATATGCATACATGAGTGACCTAGGCACATACCTAGGCCACAATGAGACTGCGGAGCACGATCTCAATAAATGTCAGGTGGGGGGAAAGAGGACAGCCTTTGGCTAGCCACTCCGTGAGTGCTCATGTTTCCCATCAGAATCTTTCCGTTCGGTGACCTCCTTAGAGGCTTTCTGATGAGAAGACCTTCGGCGCTGGAAGTCCAACGGCACATTAGCCAGGCCATGGGCACCAGTGTATCTAATGCGACGCTCGGTGCGCGACATCGGTCGATTCGGGGTATCGGGTGCGTAAAAGACCTGGGGTCGACCGCTGAGAGAGTGGGTCAAGATTAGCTTCGGTGGTAAAGGCCTCACGGGGACGTGGGCGGGGATTCGGGGGCGATACTTTTCTAGAATACGGGCCGCCGGGTTCCAGTTTGGGTCGTCCCAGGGCTTCCGGGCGGGGCCGGTCCAGCCGTCAAAAATGCCAGGGCCATCCTTGAGTTGCTGGGCTAGGATTCGGGCGCGGGAGAGAGCGATTTCATCTTGGTCGACTTCGCGAGCGCGACGCAATCTCTCTTTCTCAATATACTCAAGCTGTTCCTCGGTCATAGGCTTGGGCTCGCAAAGGGTCTTGACTTGGGCCAGTTTCTGCTCGAGTTTGTCCAGAATTGGTAGCTTGGGGAAAGGTCGATTCTCAGCTTCGTACACAGAGAACTTGAATGGGGTGTGTTCCGCTGAGGCAGAGACCTTGGTTAGCTTGGAGCTCGGGCCTGGCTCCTCGGGCGGGTTTTCAGTCCCTTCATCCATTTGTCGCTTCTTCTGGGGTTTCTCGGGGCTCTTGCGCTTGGAAGACGCTCGGGGCTTCCGCGAAGAAGGTGGCTCATTGCCATGTCTTTCTTCAAAATGAACAGAGCGTCTCAATGAGCCATCATACGGGGCAGCGGTACTGCTTCCCTTTAGCGACGACCGCCTCTTGTGTCGAGAGTCATCGGCATGAGTGGAAATATGCTGACGTTTCAGTGAGCTTTGTTGCTCAGACCCCCCAGCAGGGGTCACATCTTGAAACAGAGGTGGTTGATCAACAGGCGCTTGGAATGGGGAGTACGTAGACGATTTGGCGTCAAAGATTTTTGGCTGCCGCAGGGCCTCGAATAGAGTCCGAGGCGGCGAAGAAGCTATGGGGCGCGTGCTTGAGACAGACCGACTGGCAGAGGGAGCCGCGGGTGAGGGTAAAACTCTAGCCGGCTGAGTTGCTGAGCCAGAAGCCGATTCTTCGGATTGCAAAGATCTTGGAGCTTGAATCTGAGCTGGCGCAGAGCTCCTGAAGCCGGAGGCTTCACTCGGGTTCGGTCCAGGTGATGGCCGGGTGAAAATAGCAGGTTGTTCTTCAATTGCCGGCGCAGCAGGATCCAAACCCTGGGCTTCCCGGCTGGGCTCTCGAGCCTTCGGGGGCGCAAAGAGAGAGTCCTTTGCCGAAGATGGGGGTTTGGCCGATGGAGATGAAGGTGGTTCATCCTTCTTCTGTGCATGCTCATTGGGTGGAGGCGAGAACACAAAAGGCTGCTTTACGGGTGCCGGTCCGGTAGGTGCAGAGATATCGACCTTTTGGCTCGATTCTGGTGCCTTTGGGGGCGCAAAGGTGAAATCATTCGCCGGAGTTTGAGTTTTAGCAGGCGTGAATGAGAAAGGCTGGGTCTTCTTTTCCTCGGGTTTGATTGCACTTGGCTGTTCTGTGGTCTCAGGGGCTTTGGGGAATGAGAACGGGGATGAAGCCACTGAAGGAGCAGCGAAAGGCGTTGGAATTGCGGGAGCTGGAGCGGGGAAAGACGGTTGTGAAAAGCCGAAGGGATTCTTGGATGTGGCTGATGAATCCTTTGGGATGTCATCAGACTTGAAGAGAGTGGATGGCGCAGTAGTGGCCACCGCAGTTGGCTCGGTCACCGTGATCGCCGCAGGCGCCTTTTGGAAAGCAGGGAAAGCAGAAGACGCAGCAGAGCCGCTCGGTGGAAAGGAAGAAAGCCCCTCAAAGGGATTTTTGGCGGTCGAGGGAGCTGGAGGTGAGCTGATTGGCTTGAAAAGCGTGGACGCCGCGGGTGCAAAGGGTGGACTACTTGATTTGAACGGCGGCGAGCCTGCCGGTGTTGACACTGCGGGAGCATCCGCCTTCTGGGTCACCCCTGACGGGTTCGCGAATGAGAATGAAGATGTAGGAGTAAAATAGTTGGGACCAGAGGAGAGTGCGGGGCTAGAAGTCGCAGCTACAGTGGTGGGCTGCGCGAAAATAGATGGAGCGTTGGAGCTACCAGAGCTGCTCGATGGAAATAGGGTGGTAGATGGCACAGCTGTAGCTGGTTGAGGCGGTTCTGTTTGAGGAAGTGCGGGTGGATTAGGGGCGAAGATGTTCGAGGCGGATGACGATGATGAATTAGCAAAAGGGTTTGAGAAGTCAAAGGTCTTTTTCTCCGCAGAAGCAGTTTGGAATGGAGCGCTTGGGTTAAATGGCGAAGTTGACACGCCCTCGGCAACAGGAGAAGTCACGGGTTTGTTGGCTTCTGCTGGCTTCGCGAATGGGTTTAATGGCGACGGGGCCGCAAATGTATCGGTGACTTGTTTAGAGAAAGGGTTGCTGGCGTTCTGGTTCGCAGATTGGGCAGGGAACGTGCCTGCAGGCTGGGAACCGGTTCCGATTCCCTGGAAGGGTGAGGCAAAGCTTGTTGACTTAAGCTGATCAGGCTTTCCAAACACATTTTGGGTGGATTTGACTGGGTTCGTTTCGACCATAGGCTCTGGGCTCTGATTTCCATCACCCAGACCATCCTGGGTCGGACTCGTTTTTCGGGCGGGCACCATAGTGCGGTCGATCATGCCCATCGCGGCGGCTTCACTGATTGTCATTCCAAGTATGATGGCCACGAGACTGCGTCCTGCGCGTTTTGATTCGACGTAGGTTTCAGAAAAGGAGTGATCAGACGAGGGGGCAAATTCTAGAGAACTGTTAGCGAAACGGGACAAAATGATGCGAGGGCGTATGATATGTGTAGTGAAACGAGGTAACTTGGGCGGGGCAAAGTCAAGCTGACAGTTGAGTGAAATTGAGCAGATGGGATGAATGAAAGACGCAGATTTCCAACAATGAAATACTTACCCACAGAGTCAACGTGGCGATCACCCCAGTCGAGGTAAAGGCTACCCTGGTCATTTTGTGTGAAGTGCAGATCCTGAGAGGTACAGAAATCGATAGTCTGCTGGTCATCATCAAAGTGCAAAACTTTTGTCAGTTCCTCGATAGTCCATTGGTCGTTTTTGGATTGCTGGGACTGAGGGGTTCGGCAGTAGGCTTTCCAGATTGAACGAATGGCTGTCTGACGAATATGGGTGAAGTAGACCTCGGCGACACAGGCCATCAGGTAAGACACACTTCGGGAGTTGATGATGTTGAAGAAACGAGTGTAGAACCCCTGGGCAATAGCATTCGGCCGGCGAGCATCTAGCGCACCTTGAGGCTCCCAAGTGTTGCCAGCAGCAGCAAAAAGCTCCAGAGCCACCTGCACTCGAGGAGAGGCGAGAAGGTCGGAGGGCCACTTTTGGACACGGGCTTCGAGATCAGGTCGCTGGTCATGAATTGAGAACAAGATGTAGTAGGCACGGAACTCAGCCTCGTTGGGGAAGTCGATGCGGCCTCGGTTGTCGTCATAATAGTACATGAGAGACAACATGGTATTGTTGAGCTGCTCTCGCTCTTGATGACGATCGAATGGCTCGGTGTTTTCGGGGCTTGAAAGTAGATGCAACGAAACGATGTGGAAACGCGCAATTCGTTCGAGGCAAGTCACTGCGACCTTCACATCTGCCTCCTGAGTAACTTGCTGGACCGAGAAATCATTTCGAATTGAGCGTGTCCGGTCCCAAACAAACTTGTGGACCATCGCCAGAGGTTCCTTGCCATCAATGACATAACGCATGAGGTAGTTCATGGTCTGCAAGAGCGTGTTTGGGGTGCGAATGTCAGAAGGCAATTGCTCATCATATCCAGCTGCAGAGCGTCGGAAGCGTTTGAGCATCTTGGATTCCATATTTTGTAATTGATTGGTTGATGGATGCGGATACTAGTCGCATGTTAATATGATGCACACGTAAAAATTAATAAACTGTTTACCTTCTCGCACTTGTCGACCATCTTTTGCACGATACGCTCCACGCTCTCAAATTCGGGGCACATACTGGTGCAGGTGCCCACGGGTGTGATTGCCTGGTTCAAAGAGGTCGGCTGATTTGGGTCTGCCATCTGACCGGCTCTGATTGCTTGCTGGCGTTGAGCTGCACGATCGATTTTAAGCTAGTAAAATATTAGAATACCCCTCGTACAAAAAAGCGTGGAACGTTTTCACGGTTGGGCTGACTGACTTGATCGTAGCGTTCTTGATAGCTGTTCATAGTCGAGGCATCCTCCACGGGCACGGGGCCTTGGGGCTCTGTTTTCATCGACTTCTGAGAAATACCGTTGGCATGTTGGGAGAAAGGGTTGGCGGGAGTAGAGTGAGAGGTGGCATTGGCAAATGTTGAAGCTGGAGTCCCGTTGGGTGTTCTGGAGAAGGGAGACGGGGTGGGCTGGGCACCAAAAGGGGAGGCGACTTGTTTCTGGTTTTGCGCAAACGGCGCCCCATTCACTTTGGTTCCTTCCGCGGTTTGATGCGCCTCGTGGTGAGTGCCCTGTGCAGCCCCACGCCCACGTCCTCGGGCTGTCCATGTCGACGACCCTCTTCCACGACCACGGGCCCGCCCTGCTCGTGGCGCACTTGAGCCCCTCGGTGCATGTGTTGATGAAAACCCAGCCGTTGTTCCTCTTCCGCGCCCTGTTGAACCTTGTGCACCTTGCGCTCCTCCGCGTTGGCCGCGGGCCGCAAAAGGATTAAACGGACTTGCCATCCTACCCGCGAAGAGCGGAAGAAAATGAACAAGCCGCCGCCTCTAGCAGCAATGACCTAAATTCCACACTGAATCCAATGTGTTTTCCCGGCTGATTGCGATTGTATCTGGATGATCCCGAGAAACGGCGGGCGGCGTGCGTCAGGATCGGTTTATGCTGAAGACTGGAATGCTGAGAGTACTGTTCGCTGGAGTCGATACGCCGAGGCGACAACAAAGAAGTCAGTCCATGTTATTATACCACAAAGTGATAGCGGGCCTCTTGGACAACGTCCGCGCTGATCCAACAGCCTGTGAAAGAAACGTCACAAAGAACGACCGGGGAACAAAGCGGAGGACTCGAGCGGGCCTGGGGTTTAGGGTCGCCTACCTGTCATGAAGCAGACTGATTACTTTGCTTCGACGAGAGACTTGCTTTGCGGACCTGTTAGCGATGTCGCTCGCGGTTAATGGATGTTGTGTTGACGAGGCTTGCGTGTCGGAGTGCGCCAAGACCAACGCCGGATGATGGGAAATGCGATTGACGGTGGTATCTTAGCGGCTCAAGACAGCCCGCGCAAGCATCGAATAGGAAGAGATGCACACGCCGCAAAGCGATTGAAGAGAATGGTGTTCCGCGAGAGCTCCAAGCTGAACGGTCCACGACTGGTGGCTCCGCTTCCGCTGACCAAGCGCGCGGGTCCCGGTCTTGGCGCCTAATTGGCCGGTGCTGGTTCCGCCGTCTCGATTTCACAATAGAATGAATTTACCTGTACTGTATTGAGTACCTACCTAGGTAGATTTTCCTACAGCTGGCCCCAGGGCTCATTGCGCTCCATCATATAGACTCAGCCTTGTGGAATTGAGAACGAACGGTACTGATATCGGCTATGATTGTGCACAGTACATAAGTAATCTTGCAATGATCTCCTAAGTCAAATACCTACTCATTCTCAACTCGTGGACGGGTTGAAGAAACTAGTGGGGAAAGCCGGCGTAGGAATAGTGAATAGAGGACCTCTTTAGAGCTGTGCACTCCAAGTAAGCAGGTAATTCCACCATTTTAGGGGAGTTGTCTGCGCTTCTAAGGTTCCCAAGTGAAGAATAACTAACGAGTGAAAGAGGAAGCAGATGCTGTATGAGAAAACAAGGTCTAAAAAGTGATTTAGCCCTAGAAGAGGTATTGTTGTTTGTTAGGAAGACAAGCAAATGCATCTATGTAGATAGATCATATTGTTGCTTGTTTGAGTGTCTATGGATGAGGCACTGGAGTAGTGTCAGTACTAAGTAACCATGCTCCCCAATACGTTCGGTACCAACAGTCAGGTTTTAAATGAATCTACGGCGAAGAGTCCCTTGAGCATTCGCAAGAGATAGCCACCTAGGTGTGACAAAGGATAGACTACAAATTAGGTGACAACAATGGGAAAACAGGTTCAGTATGAAATCAAATCATATTATGAACAGCTTGTAATTTTTTTGGGAATATCTACCAATCCTCGTTTATCAACAGCCCCGAGGAGTCCAAATGGGACGAAACCTATATGCACAGCGAACAGAAATAATAAAAAGGCCAAAGAGAAGGATATACCAAATGAAAGGCCCACACCAAGAAAGAAAATGGAGAATCACAGAGGTGAAGGCCAAAGAAAACAATGCACAAGAAACAAATCCAAAATACCGGAAGAGAGAAGATCAAACACCCAAAATATATCCAAAGGGAAAGAGAGAAAAAAATCAGAACAGAACAGACCCCATTTATGCCCCTGGACACAACCTTGCACCGCCGTTTTGTAATCCACAAGAAATCGAAGACAATAACTCCTTTGACAAAGCCTTATGACAAGCGCTATGTTTTTGTCGAGCCATCAGTCATGCATATTCGTTAATACACCCCATCACTGCCACATCAATCATCCACATGCTAATCGGGATCCAGCCCGGCCATTGGCAATCTAAGCGTGGTGAGAGAGAGGCATGCCATGGGGGTGAGGGTGGCTGAGAGATCCCGTGCGGAAGGGGAGGGATCGGTCAATGGAGGCATGGTGAGACATGTCATGCATGCTGGGACCCATAGTCATGGGGTAGCCCATTGTGGACTGCGACATGGCTTGACTAGTGGCAGGTGTGTAATCGACAGGGCCGAAGATGCTGGAGCGGAAGGATGGGTTGGTCCAGGGGTCGTAGTGGCCGGCTCCGCGCTGGTGGTCGGTAGAAGATGGTGTGAAGGAGCTTTGAGAGGAGTAGTCAAAGACAGAGACGTCCTGGGGGCTGATCATCTCTGCTGTAACAGGAGTGCTCAGCATAGGCTGGGAGAAAGAGTCGGTATATTGAGGGGGGGTGGCATAGTAAGGGCAGTCCTGGCGTGTTGTCGCTTCGAACTTGAGAGGCTCAGACATGGGGTAGCCGCCTGAGAGTGAGCGTGCTGATGGGATAGTCTCAACTGGTGTGGTTAAAGAAGCAGCAACGTGTTGCTCGACGGAGGACATGGGGGTCATCAGTCCTTGGGTGTGGTCGGGCTCCTCGATGTGAATTGATGGCGCATCTGGGGAGTCGTCCTCCTCGTCGCCCTTGGGGCTAGGCCCACGGTTCATAGTGTAAACAACCATATTTGAATCGACTTCGCCGCGCTCGAAACGCTCTTCCATCTTGCGGACCCGGAGGATTTCGTAAATGATCTCGACGTGAGATGGGTGCTTCAAGCTACGCTTGGTGTCGCCAGCGACCTCCTTAAGCTTGTCGGCAGTAACTTGAATGTAACCCAACTTGCGGATAATGTGAATCAAGAGCTCAATGCGGACTGTGACAGTGAGTTAGTGATCATGACGGCAGACACGGGTGGTATTGAGCTTACACTCTTTGCGCAGGTGGTCGGGCTCCTTGTGCATAACACCAGGGGGCCACCATTCAGGCTTGGTCTTCTCGGGGTCGCCAGTAGTACCGGGAGCAGATCCTGGAGGAGGCTTGCCACCGTTGTAAGGGTGTCGAACCTGTTTGCGAGGCTCAATGAACTTGATAAAGGCTTTCGCAACCATGCGACAGTTAAGCTGTTGGAAGTGCTTGAGGGCACTTTCATAGTAGTGCTGCACTTTAGCCGAGTCTCCGATGCGGAGAGGGACCATTTCATCAGATCCATTAGATAAATCCTCGCTGTCGGAGGTTTGCTCGATCAAGCGGTCGTCTGAGCCAGCGAAGGCAGGAGCATTGCCCTTGCGACGTCTTACCCGACGGGGAGAGGTATCTAAAGTGTCTGTATATCACGGTCAGTGCTGGTTCAGTGACCTCCTAACGGAGTTGACATACGACGAGCAGGGTGGTAGCCGATGCGCTCGCCCAAGACTTCAAGGAAGCTTTGGCGAACCTCTGGGGTGAAGATGGTTGTGTTTTGCTCTTGGATAGAGCTTGACTCGTCAACCTTGACCTTGCCGTCATGGTCCACGTAGATCATGGAGTAGTGGGCATAAGGCGGGCGGAACGATGAGCGAGAGTGGGCCATCATTGGCTAACCGATGTCAGTACGAGATGATTTCTTGATGGCTTGAGCGAACATACAGGAACGACGTCCCAGCATGGAGGTCCTTCGAGAGCCGAAGCAGACCTCTTCATGGCTCCAGATGTGGGGTATGGTTTACTGTAAACCATTGTGGTGGTATATAAATATGATTGCTCGACCGTGCTGAGGTACGAGGCAGTCGACGTGGTCGTCTCGGGGTCTATTCTCAATCACAAAGACACATCAATGAGTGATAGAGAATTGAGATCGAGGATCCGACAATGCAGTTGAGAAAGATTTTTCTCTTATAGATGAGATGACTCGAGTGGTGGGGTTGCAAAATCCACTCAGTAGGACACTAGTTCTGATCACTTGCAGTTAGCCAACAGTTCTCGTCTTTCCATACCCGTTGGCGGGCATGTTCCGCCTGTCCACCGCGAGGCTCCCAAGCCAATGGCGGATATGTCCTCCCCGCTCCGGTGCGGGAACCGGTAGGACAAACGCCAGTGTGCGGACAACGGGTTCCAACCAAGCTCTTGCCAACAGAACCATGATAGGCGCCGGGATGTACTCACGATGTGCAAGTGTCTGAATGGGGGATGTCTCGGATAGCTGCAGTTAAGTACTGTATGAAGTACTGTTGGTAACCGGGATGCAGGAACGAGAGGAAGCCTCCACTTAAGTGAATGCGAGCCGGGTTGAGGCAGTTGGGAATGAAATATCTTGAAGATGGATCAGGTTGGATCTTTAAATAAAGAGAGCAGTGGATATAGTTTTCAATGTTTAAATTCCAGGCAAAGGATAAAAAAAAAATTCCAAGGGGAGGGATATGCAAGCCTTTTCAGTTCCAGACCCTAAAGCGTACGGCGACAAAAGGACGATAGAATAGCAGCGATTGAGCATGGATGATCCCAGAACCCTGATCCCTCTCTGATCGAGTGCATGCAGCGAGATTGGCGCACTTGGATAGGACATGCAGTAGTTTAGTCCGATCCAACATCCCTGTTCTACTATTTGCAGATCGCATGTACTAAGTGTCATTATTATTATTCGGCTTTTTTTTTTATAAAAAAAAGGATATTTATAATTATTAAATGAATTATTATTTAAAAATGACAGTTTTTGGATTTTAAAAATGATTTTATGAAAACCTTTAACAGTGGCGCTGTTATCGATCGACCCCCCACACTCGGTCAGATCCCCAAAGATCCCAGCCAAAAGGTCGGAAAGACCAAAGACCCAAACGTACTATTGTCCATACGAGGCAACCTTCAATTGTCCCGATCCAGCTCATGCTTAATCGTCATCTATAGATCCCAGAATATTTGAACCCAGAAACCAATATAGGCGTAAACACGGGGAGCACTCGCACCTGTCAACGCAATTGGGAACGCGCACAGGCCTATTTGACGCCGTGTGGGTGCTATTCTTAATGCACATACAGTACATAATACATAATGTGCAGATCCTTCTCGGAACTCCCGTGGTTACTTTGAAGTTGGGCTCTGGGGGAAATTAGGTCTCCTGGACTACCCTGTAGCTCCAGGATCTTGTATATAGTACCCTTTCCAACTATATTACCCCAAGCCCCAAAGTCGGAGTAAAAATAAAATCCAAATAAGAATCTAATATCGTCTGTAACATGGGATGTCTTTTTATAATTCTGTCTTTTTTTTTTTCCTTTTTCTACTTTTGTGTTCGATCGGATCTCAACAAACAGTGCCCCGAACTAGCGTTAAACCATCGGCCAACCAGCGAGTGAATTAGCCATTCTCCATTCCATCATGAACCTATCAGGACAAGACCAGACCAGGGCCCAACATCCTGGATCCTGGATGATAACTCGCCGATGGAATATCACCGTTTTCTTTTTTATTCCGTCGATCTCCCAACTGACAGGAACTCCGGGGTGGCAAGTTAAAAAGGCTGTTCATACGCACAACTGTATGTGCCTGCTTGGCTTCAAAGTCCAGCTGAAGTAGAGGCGATACCCCTGAGATCAGACCTCAAATCTCAAATAAATCAAATTGGTAGAAAATCATTCAAAAGTACGGCTAGTCCGACTGTGCAACTTTAGTTAATCCATTCCGGGCGGCATGATGCGAGTCAAAGAAAAGGCAGAAAAGCGATCTAAGACGAATCGAGATATTAGTCGTAGTCAGGTTGACGTCTGATGCTCCAGCGTGATCGACTTGACCGGGAGGGAGGGGAGAAAACTGGTCGCAAAATGGTTCGAGTAAATATCCCACGGTGGGTTAGTGGTGGTACTTTTGACGTCCGAGATCTATTGTGACAGCCCAATGATCGCCCAGAAGCGACCAATTACCCCTGGGTCTGTGCTAGAGTCCAGGGGGAAGGGTCACCGGAGTACGGAATACCCAAGCTACTGTCAATGAGTAAATCTCCCGTACTGGTGGATTACGATGGCATTTCTTGGAGACGCGAGTGTCAGACTCGCAAACCAAATCCCGGAACAAAGAACAGTCAAGACGTTTAGACGCTTAAACGGCAGATGACAGTGCGAAACAGCGAGGGGATTCTGACAACCGTTAGTTCGACCAATGCTCGTCTATCGTTCGCTATCATGAAGTACAGTAAAGGGGACACACTTTGAGTCCCACTGTTCCTAGACGCTATATCGGGGAAGATGCAAGTTGCAGAGTTTTTGATGCACAACCACTTCCGATCAGATTGTATATCGTACAATGCACTTGAATTCCAGTATCCATTCTGATCAGTCTCATCGGTCTTCGGTCGAAGCATCCTACTGCCTACTACTGTAACCTTGTAACATTCCAGCATCCGCCGTGCCGTCCACGGCACTAACGATATCGGACGCCTATTTCATTCATTGACTGCAGCTTATGACGCGAAGGCAGCAATATCTACACCGTCTGCGATACGAAATACTCCGTACTTAGTTGTAGAAGCCCTTGTCAATTTAGAAATTTAGCTCAACGCCGAACCATCGGCGGAACAAAGTAATGACATGGGACTAAACGGCTTTGAGTAAACTAAAGTATTTGTCATTACATTTAGGGCCCTCGCAAAATTCGGACTACTCTACTTGAGCATCTAGTTGGCCAGAGGGCGTCACACTAAAGAGCACCAACGGCTTCCGCTGTCTTGACATCTCCACTCGGATTGACGCGACGTTGACGTTTGACGTTTTGTGCGTTTTCTTTTTCTTTGTTTGCGCGCTCCTCTAATTCCCCCAAACAGCCCACCCGGGGTTGTTTGCTTTGACAATTTAGCCGCTGTTATCTTTTTTAGCGTCAAATGCACTCTACTCGATTTGATGTTGGAATCGGATAGTAAGATCCAGAATCAAAAGTCCCAATTACATTTGGAATTACGCATTACGGGCACTCCGATCAATTCAATGAAATTTGATGTTAGGGCCTAGACTTGGAATTGCCCCCACCCCTCCCCCCTTTTACAACTGCGTTGAAATGACAGAATCGGGCAGGGTCTGACATCTGACAGCTATAAACAAAAGCTTCTGATTGGACCATGCGGCGATCATCACCGCCACAACGTGGCTCAGCTATGTTTTCAGCACCGCCTTAACACAACGGATGCATTATGCGCGGTGTGAACGCTGTGTGAACGCAACGTGAACGCTTTATTAATACCTCGGGAGCAGAAAGGATGTTCCCTGCTCTTGCATCTTAAAATTCTTGAATTTATGAGACAAACGTCAAGTTTGACAGCTTGGCATTCACACGCTAGTTTCAAGCAAACATCATGCCCTAAGGTCAGCACCATCAGCACCATTAATCTAAATTAGCGTAGCTCCGATTGAAAATATCGAACAAAAGAACCTGACTCGGAGATGCTCGGTAGCGCAATAAGCCTGAAACCCCAATAACCTCTAAATGAGGCGTGGATTCGGCGGATATGTGACAGCGGGTGCACTGACAGGGGGGACAAATAAACTGGGGGCGGGGGCTGAAGAAATCGCACAAGTGACTCGATCGGGGTTGGGGGGAAGGGGGGGGGGGGGTTCGGTGATCTACACTTTCAAACAGAACTTCATGTATGTCTGTGCCCGCACCGGTACTTCTGGAACGATCGAGAAAACGTCCCACCAAGTACGGAGTACAGAGTACAGTTGTTCTTTTGGGTTGGTTCACCGCTACGGGGGAAAACAGTTGCTGGGGGGGAAAGTGTGTATCATCGACTCCGGGACTTCAAATGTTCTTTGTCGTACTTCCAGAAATTTACCTCAACTCTAAGGAGTATAGTTCGCTTCAAAACTCGATGGTCCAACAGTCGGCACTGGGGCTCGTATCGATCGAGATAAGCGACTCCAAAAACATGTGGAAAGGGGTACTACGTAGGAGTGTGTACGAGGACGGCGTATGGAGTACAGAGTACAAAAGTATACGTCTGTTCGCAGAGTAACAAGATCACGTCGCTTCTAGACATCGCACAAAGGTACGGAAGGCAACCTCTAGATCATCGAAAACCCAGAGAGCTATTCCAAGTCAAGCGAAAGACTTTCGCGGAAGTCTCTTCGTATCGAAAGTAAATGCTAGGACCTGTGAAGTGTATGATCTCTCTCGTACGGAGCACTCTATGCGAATCGTCGGGACACACAAGAAGGCAGGCTCTAGTGCTTGTTGTTGTGCAGAACCGAAGCGCCGCACCCACGATCGATCAATGATGCGCATCGATCGAGCACGATCGGACCGAGAAAATAAGGCATTGCGTCATGCAGCATCCGCCGCTGCGTCGGGGCGTTTGGGCCGAAGCCGGGACCCGTCTCGGAGCGAAAAGTATGTAATGTACCTTTTAAAGGGGCGTTCATGGTCAGAAGGACAGTGACATTCCGTACTTTGTGAACCAGTGATCGTCTCACGATCAAACTACAATTTCGCTAACTACTCATACTCCGTAAGGTACTTCTAAAGTTGTAGAAGGTTAGGGCCCAGACTCGAAGCCTCCAGCAAGCCACCGCAGTGAAGCGGGTCGGGGATGGCGGTCCGGGGAGGCTAAAGCTGTCAAACTCCCATTTTGGTTTAGTGTTATTCTCCACTATCCCAAGGGAAGGGTCAAAGTTGAGGATCATGGAGTGATTACTTTTGGTTTTTCCCACTCACCCAGCTAGTTGGAATATGTGCAGAATCGAGTAGTTCGTGTTAGT